AATTCTCTACGTGGTGTAGTATTTATGAAATGGAGGACGGATTAAACTTTTAACTCAACAATAAATTAGGGGATATAGGGAGCGTCTTACTACTTACTAATGCCTTTGGTGTAAATTATTATGGTTTGTGTTATTTAAATGATGCTTTTTTCTTAGATTTTCTTGCATGTGTTCTTGTATAGGAATGAAAAGGCACATGATGAATTTTGGTGCATATAGTTTGATAAAATTCATACTCAATAATCATGGTGTGAGTGCTCACCCTGTGTTCATTACTGATTGGTATGTAAGGATTAATAAATATATTTAGTGTTTAATTGTAGATTAAATGTAGTATATATTCAAATATTGACTTATTACTCAAGCCATTAAATCTAAACTGTTTTGTGTGTCATGTTTCAAAGTTTTTAATAGGTGGTTAGGTTTAACTACTCATAGTATTTCAAGTTTATATTTATGGACGATTGTGCTTTTGTCTCAATTTGAAAGGATTTAGAGAATCAAGCACTTAGGTGAATTGAGTCCTAAAAATTAAGCACTTAGGTGACTTGAGTCCGACGCCTTCCTATTTTATTTAAATGAAATAAAATTTTAACTACCAATACAATAACTTGGAATTATCTATTGGTGAAAACAGAATCTAACCATTTAAGTTGATATTGCCATACCCGAGGAAGCGAAATTGGGGGGTGTCACCACCTCACCAACAAATGTAGCTAGATTCTGCGTACCTTGACAATAACTCCTGAAAGGAAGCACTGAAGAATTGGTAAAAGGTCAAGACTAAAATTATATCATTAACAAGAAAATTAGGCCATGACTCAATTGACTTGTTCCATAAAACACATGCAACCAAAATCGGCAACAGATATGTTTATACGTGCAAAATCCGCAAATAAAAATTAAAATTAATAATGTATTAGAAATGACATCACTTGAAATTGGCTACCACCAAAAGTGCAGATTTGCCTCAATTTTGGACAAAACTTAACTGAAATGTTGCTATCAATTTCAACCTCCACCAACGGCCGCAAATCTTGTATTTAATCTCTTTTTTCCCCTTCTTTAGAATTAAAGGTAAGGAAATTAATCGATACATATAACCCTGCGTTGCGTGTCTCGATCATACACATAACACATGTAATGGAGCATAAAAATCAATTTTAGACTTCAATAAACTTAAGTTTTTAACTGATTAACATGCTGATATTGAGTTAAGCTACATCTACATTTCAAATACTAATCTTGCTATTAAATTACGGTTATGATTGTGTTGATATTTTTATAGTATAGAGTCAAAGGTGAAAATACAAAATTAAAAAGATTCCAAATAAGAAGAACAAAAACAACAGGATATAGGCAGTCGTCACATATACGAGAAGTCCATAACCTTTGAAAAAGCAAATAGTAGTGTGGAATTTTTAATGGCAAGTTAGATAATGACGCCTATTCTGTCTATTGTAGTAGGAGGGTGAGTATTGCACCACACACACTAGCTTAGCAGAAATGATAACGTGTTCATACTCGTTTGTTAATTTTAGTCTATTTGATTAGAGCTTCAACTATAACTTTGACTATTAACTTCTAACTATTTGTTTATCAAGCTAACTCCTCTAGTTTCAAAACATTTTAAAATTATACGCAAGATCTCAATGAAGGAGGATTAATATTGTTGAAATAAGTTAATTAGAACAAGTATATTTTTGGATGTTGTGTGAATGTCATCATGTATATAACACTTATGCGGTATACTATGTTGCAGCAACCATGAGCGATCTAGTTCAAACACATTAGAAAATAAAAATAAAATAAAATAAAAATAACTATAAGTAATAACTCACCGTTTGTTATAATATCAACCAAAATCAATATAATTGGGGTCGTTTCTTATCTTAGTATATATTACACGAAGAGACACTTTATTAGGTTGGGGTGAAGTAGTGATATAGCTCCATACATCACCTTGTCGTTTAGGTTTTGGTTTTAAATTACACGAAACTCATTATAGAGACTCTCATTAACTTTTTACATTATTAGAAAAAAAAAATACTAATAAATAATTAAGTCACACCTTGTTAGAGGCAGGGATACAAATAATTGAACCCTAAAATCATTTTATTGAAAAAATATGTTACTAAATACACAAATCAAAGTCCTTTTATATTAGTTTCACTTAGGAGCCCTGTACCATCGACCACCCTTCGCATGCTCCTAACCACACCTTCACCTTGTTTTCCAAATGTAGTTGTTCAGCTCAATATCTCTATTGGTTTATAAACTTAGAATGTTTCCGAGTGTAACATGGTTGAAGGACTATAATATCCAAAAGTATTAGAGTAAAGTTATCCACCATTCCAACTCTTATCAATCAAACAAAATCCTTGAGTCCTCCTTAAAAAAAAAAAAAAAAAAAAAAAAATCCTCTCTCTCTCAAAAAAGAAAAAGAAAAAAGGGGAATTAATGGAAAAACAATAGAAATAGAAACCTGACTTCATTGGCAACCGTGTACATATTATGAAATCTGTGGTACTAGACTACATTTAGTAATTGTACTAGGAGGACCCAAAGTTAATCTATCCAAAAGGCTGATAACTGAACGCATGATCGAATATAATACAATTAGCTTATCATATTATTTCTGACTGTTTTTGTACAAATCCAATTTTGCATACATATCCTTTTCTTCAAAGCCCGCTTTTGCATACATATGCGGATGAGGGAGTTATAAAAGACAAATGATTTAATTTAAATGTTATTTAATGATACTCGATATGCAATTGATTGTGGAGAAGAGGATATGGGAAGAGAGGAAAAAAGGGAGATTAACTTCAAGGAACGAAGAATAATGCTTCAAAAAAGTATTTTTGCTTTAAAAGCTCATTTGATTTTTACCTCATTTTCACTAATTTTAGAAAAAAAGTTCATAAAAATTCATAAAGTTAAATAAGATAAGGTAAAATATGTTTATAAAATTTAAGTAAAAATAAATTTTGATAAAATCAATAAGGCTACCTATGTTCAATTCAAATAAGTTGATGTAACTTTAGATAAGTTATAATATGTAAAAATCAAGTGAGTAGACCATATGTTAAATAGCTTAGAATAATATATGTCAATACTAATTTTAAATTAAATTATAGTTCATCATTTATATACTAGCCTTTGTTAAGCTAAAATTTTCAAATCTCTTACTTCCCCTCACTCCTCTAGCTTTCCTCAAAATTCACTCACCAAACAAATAATTACAAGTAATTAATCCATTAAACTATAGACAAGAAAACAATTGTTCTAGATGATGATATCATCATGTAATAAGCCACTATAGACATCCTCATAAGTAAAACATCCTCTAATTGGGAAAACATCCTCAATTCTAAGCTTGCTATCCTACTAAATAAACATATACAGGTACAAAAAGTGGCAAATGAATACTTCTAAAATTAGGTTTGGTATGTATAGTTCTTTAAATCAATCCTACATTAAATCCATCTCAATTAAGTCAAATTTGGGCTATAATCGATTATTCAAATTGTAAATTCGATCACATTGATAATCAATACAAATCACATAACGCCAAACCTTTACTGTTAAAGAGACACACCTCTAAATTAAAAAAAAAAAAAGTAAATAACTCATTTTCTATTCTTTTTCCTTGATCCCACTTGACACCAAAAAAAAAAAGAGGATGAAAAATAAACAAAACAATTTAACAGGAAAGATATATAGTTCATAGTACTATTCAAAAATAAATAAATATAGTTCATAGTAATAATACCTTAATAAAATAATAATATGCAATTAAAAAATAAAAAAGAATTAGAAGGGAAAGAACTAACAAAAATTGATGACCGTAGGTAACACATTAGAGGCCAGAAGGCAGGAGACTTCTGCTGTCCAAATTTCATAAGGTTTTGCATCATATACAACCTGAAAAATTAAAAGCATATAAAAATAAATTATATCTCCTATGTTTATCACTAAAAATACATACAAAATTTTAATGTGTATATAATTAGTATAGATCTAGTCTCCAAACCTATAAAAATCATAATATATATAATAAAATAAATTATTAATAAACTTCAAAAATATGCATATCATAATAATTAGTAAATCAAGTTTGCAACGATAAAAAAAACATAATCAAACAAGAAAAAAAATGGACTATGATATATTTATAAAATTGGAAAATCATATGTGATTTAAATATAACAAGAAGGAAAAATATAATGAGAAAATTAATTAAAATCACATGTAAAATAAATTAAAGGGAAGAAAAGTACAAACCCTAGGCAGCAGAATGTTGGTGTTGATCGATCTATATTATTGAGGTTCTCAAGAATAGTTATAGAGTTTTTTTTTGTAGGACTATCAATCTTTCATCAATATCTCTCCATTTTTAATTTAATTTTTTTATGGATAATATTTGTTTCAATATTTTATTGTTTTAATTTCAACTTTTAATTAAAGGTGCAGAGTAGTGCAGGAAAAAGGGTCAATAGTTCCATCATTTTATTTTTTGGGTGATAAACGACGGTAACAAAGGGTGTACAATTCTATGTGTTTGGCTACCCCTCGTTTCATCACCCCTTCCTTATCATCTTATTAAGCTCGGATGGGTTCGGTGGTACCACATATACGAGTAGTTATGGTTGTACACGCTTAAGGTTAAGATCGATGATATCCTGAATGGTTGTGGTGGTCGCTAATATGACCGGTAACTTTATGTGAGAAATCAAAAGAGCAAAAATGTTGCAAATATTAAGTTGCAAATTATTAGTAGTTTATGAAAGTAATACGCCGTACCATTAATACTACTACATTATTGCTATTTGTTATCTCCTTGAATTTTAAACATGTTTGTTGTGATGGATACACGTGAAGAAAATGTTGATTAACATACATGTAACATACATGTGCATTAGTTAGTCCATGTGTCACATACTCACATGGCACACTACGACACTAGTTTGATGACGAAAACGAAACTCATTCAACCATGTCCTTTAGGACTTTACATAATAACGTTCTTCATATGAATTGAAAGTTGATCTCCATTAACTTGGTAAATGTCAGAAAATGAACGAACGTATCATAAAAAAAATTAAAAAATTAAGCAAAACTTCGAATGTTATACGAAGTAACAAACCAAATTATACATATATATTTGTTAGTAAGAGTAATTCATCCCATCTACACATAATAGTTAGATAGTGCTGAAGTAGTGAAATAGGAGATCACTCTAGTTACTTGAGTTGTTGCCTTGGAGTTCTCTAAGCCTGAAAAATAACCATAATTTAACACGATAAGATTCATTATTCAAAATTGGGTTTATACGATATTTTGTGCACTAGCTATATCATACTGTATGAAGTACGGAGTATAATTTAAGGCAGAGGAAAATAACCTAGCAATTTCGGCTCTACGCTTAGCTTCTTCAGCCATGGAATGAAGTTCCCGGAAAGAGCGTCTCTCACTAAACAAACCCTTCATGTCTTCAGAGCTCCTCCCACCACGTTCCGTCCACCTTTCCGCTGCCCACGCTGCCTCCCTTTCTCCCCTTCCAAAGCTCTTTTTATCCGTAAACGCAGTCTATCACCACCCAATACAAATTCATTTTTAAAATAAGTTCAGAAAAAATAAATTCAAATTTAATACTCGTAATTAATAAAATGATGTGAATAGTTAGTATAGTATAGTACTCCGAACCTTATTATTGAACATTTGATGCCATGCTTTTCCACTAATTGCATATCTAACCGCGAATTTTAAAGGATCTAGAAGCATGTAAGTCACAATGTTGTACAACCATATTACCCCTGTCCAACCCCATCCAATTTTCCTTATTCCGCCCAAATCCCAGTTTGCTTCTGCCGAAATTATGCTAGCAATCTGCATTTCATTACACGATTTCGAGTTAAGTCGAAAAGAACACATACACATTTTTGTAGTACAATAGCATACAATAATTTATGTCTATCCAGATTTAATTGTCACGTTGATAGTGTAATTTATGTGAGCCAGTAATGTGACAACTAATGTTACGTACCAGTTGGGCGATGAGGAAGGCGACAACAAGGAGAAAGCCGGGTCTTTCGGTGAAAGACCAACTCCTAGCTCGTGTAACAAAGATAAGTGCCTGACTTATAATGCTAACTTGAAGATAGATAGCTGATGCCATTCTTTCCTTGAGATCTTTTTCAACTCCTGGAGCTGATAAGTTGTGTTTGTATTGATTTAAATCTCTTACTCCAAATTTTTCCTGCTCAAATTAATAAATTGAAACCAATTACATTATATACATAAATAAATAAAGTTATGAAACACGGAACAAACAAAGTGTTAAATAAATAATAATCCGTATAATTAATAATATAATGTCCATTTTGTAATTATTCTAAGGCCGGATGTGGCTGATACTTTGATCTGTTACCGTTCAAATGTCCATTTTGTTCCAAACTTAGTTAACTGTGTACAACTAATTGTAGGGGGTATCCTACCAAAAAAAAAAATGTACAATCTTATTACTTGTTAGATTTATCTCCATTTTAACAAAGACGTTGACGTAGGATCACTTTTAGCTTCATCAAATAATCAATTTGTAACTTTTTTTTCTTGGTAAGGAGAAAACCCAATTTAGAAGGGAAATCCCTCCTAAAATGTCCTTAGTGAGATTCAACCTCTGGCCTCATGCCTGAAAGTAAGAGAGCTAGCCAACTACTCTAGCCTCCAATCTCAATCAAGTTATAACATGAATGGCATAATTAAGTAGGTTTTAGGTACCGCGAAGAAGCTGGTGTCGTAAGCTGCCCAGTAGAAAACAATAGTCATGGTAGCAAGGTAGCTACCAAGGACAATTCCAGTGGTAAAAATTTCCTTGAGGTTCCATCGATCTGGTGTCGGCGACGGCTTCACTCTGTCTTTGGATATGGTCATTATGGTACCTACATTACATAAAAAATCACTCATTAAATCTATTAATCACAATTTATGAATATTGAAAACCTTATACTATAATTGTAGCAAAAGTTCATCAAAATACCGTCATTAAGGATTGCAATCACTAGAATCATGGTAGGTGGGAAATCAAATTTCCAAATTACACATAGCATCATGAATCCCAACTGCCACATAACAACATTAACATTAAGAACACACTTTTACCATGACATAAATTAACGAGTCATATCAAACTGTTGCAATATTAAAGAAACGGAAGAAGTAATATTGACTTATGTTTAGGTTATAAGAAACAATGACTAGAAATTACTTCTTACCACGATACGAATTGTAATGGATACTGCATATATCTGCAGGAGAAAAATGAAAATACAGTATCAGAATTCATACTATGACTAGAATGTTGTTGTACATGATGTTGAATAATAATTTTTCGTGTATGAGTACTCGAGTAGTACCGTGTAGTTTTTCATTCTTTGGAAGATGGAACGGCTTGTAAGAACAGCACTAATGATAACACTAAGTCCGGGTTCAGTTAAAACAATATCAGAAGCACTTCTAGCAGCATCAGTAGAATCATCAACCGCGATACCAATGTCAGCCCTCTTTAATGCAGGGGCATCGTTCACTCCATCACCTGTCATCCCAACTATGTGCTTTCGCTCTTGCAGTATCTTTACAATATTGTACTTGTGTTCTGCAATTGAAATAAACATCTTAATTAAACAATATTGACATAATATGTTGAAAAACCGGGTTTTGTGCTGAAAAAAGCAGGACAGTTACCAGGAAAAACACCAGCAAAACCATCAGCATTTTCGATTAGTTCCTCGATTGGTGGCATATCAGGACTTCTGTCTTTGTTGTCACCTAAAATAGTTGAAGAAGGGTACATGTTTGTGCCCATTCCTAGCCTCCTTCCTGTTTCTTTCCCAATCGCAAGCTGATCCCCTGATTTATATAACAAAAAAGTAATAAAAAGCGAAAATTATGTTCATTTCTCTGCTTTTGAGTTAAAATGTTTTTATGCAAATGTTGATCAATATAAGTAGCAACCTGTAATCATCTTAACACTGACACCGAGGTCTAGAGCCTTTCTGATGGTCTCAGCACTATCATGACGAGGAGGGTCAAAAAGTGGAAGAAGCGCGACAAATTCCCATGGACCACCTGGGCTTTCTTGGGTTCCTTCAGGCACTTCCTACACAAAATTACAAGAAAATATAATGGCATGTTAAGTAGTACTAACAATGATGCCTTAAAATAGTTGTGCACTTTATGAAAAATAACATTATATTGTACCTCTTTTGCAAGATAATTAAGTCTACTAATGTCAAAAGCGTTTAGCTTAGAAACACATAATTGATGAAACAAGATCATGCAGTGGTTACCTGGCGAGCAACACCAAGAGAACGAAGTCCACGATTAGCAAAATTGTCGATTACTGTATGAACTCTACGTTCAATTGCTGATTGGTTATGAGCTAACTCAAGAATCTGTTAAGGTAGACGTATAAAGTAAGCTAGTGAAGTAATGTAAATGCAGATTTTGATTTCTTTTTCTGATTTTCTGACAATGTTTATACCTGTTCTGGTGCACCTTTGCTAACCCTGTGCATTTTACCAGCTTCATCAATGTAAGTCAGCGCGGTTCTTTTATCAGTTGGATTAAACGGTAGGAAATGAACCTCTTTGATCCCTTCCCTTGCCTTCTCTCAAAAACATAAAACAACTTAGATCAAAAGTCATATTTCATATAAGACTACTTGTAACTTCACGTGTATTTATATGTCAACCAAACAACCACCTAGTAGCTAGTCTACACGTATATAAAGATGTACCTGCTTAGAGTCAGGCAACATTGATACAATAGCACCATCAATAGCATCTTGATTTTCTGTTCTCGACGCTCTAGCAGCCAATAACACTACCATGTCCTTATCCACACCTTTGGCAAATACCTGCAATAAGCTAACAATGTCACTATTTTGTACACAAGTAGTACTTAATTTGTGACATTAATCAACGAAAGTGTGCAAAACCTCGATCAAATTTTTATCAACAGTTAGCTTGTTAAGTGTCAATGTGCCAGTTTTGTCACTACAAAGCACATCCATGCCAGCCATTTCCTCAATCGCAGTCATTCTTTTTGTTATAGCACCCTGCAAATTTAGACCGTCTTTATCAGCTCACATTTTTTAAGCCATGGTCCTAGGACTTGTGATAGTACACGCGACTATTAATTCCCAAACTAAAATTATAAACCTGTTGTGCCAAGCGATGTGAGCCAATGGCCATAGTAACAGAAAGAACAGTAGGCATGGCTATAGGGATCCCACCAATAAGCAAGACGAGGAGATTGTCTATGCCAACGCGGTATGGCCTTTGGTGCAATGCATATATTACAATGATTTCAATCAGCATTCCAACCGCAATTGAGCATATACAGAAGTTCCCAATTGAGGTCAAAACCTGCAGCCCAAAAACCGAAAATTGCACATTATAAGACTACCAATGATCACATAAAAATTAAACAATGCAGCCTTGGAATTAAAAGAAAATAACACTTAACCTTTTGGAAATGACCAACATGGTTGGTGTTTTCTACAAGATGAGCAGCCTTGCCAAAGAAAGTGTTGATGCCGGTTGCGATAACAACGGCCTCAATCTCACCTTGCTTACATGTTGAGCCTGAGTAAACTTGATTTCCTGGATGTTTAGTCACTGGAAGTGACTCTCCTGTAAGTGCTGACTGTTACATTTTCAGGGAAGCCAATGTCAAGAAAAAAAATAAATAACAGTAACAAAATTTCTTATACTTGCTAAGAATTATGCTACCATAAGGCAGATATTGATAAGATATTTGTTTTGGTGTACATAAATTTTTGTTGATTAAGCAAAAATATTAACCATGTGTAAAGTTCAAGTTATTAAGGTTTTGAATATACAGGGGAGGTTTTGAGCATGTGCAGGGTGGTCGATCGCACAGGACCCCTAAGTAAAACTACTATAGAAGGACTCTTGTTTTTAAAATTTACTTATATAAAGTAATGAGAAAACTTAATCAATAATCTATTATTTGATTTCACAAAATATTTTTCATTAAAAAAATGATTTTAAGGCCCAATTTAACAAAATTGCACATGACCAGTGTTAGCATTTGTAGTCCCGCCTCTGTGAATATATATGTATATAGCCTAATGGTGCAAAGCTAGCTAGTAATTAATGATTGTCTTGTATGATAATTGAGTCACATCATATTCATCTAGCCAACAAAACTTTGTATTAGCTTACGAAAATTTACTCTTACAAAGAACAATTATCATGATTATGGTAAATATTGTCTTGGTAAAATCTTTAATTCGAATATTCATAGAGTTTAGTCGACATCAAAACAACAAATTAAATAACCCGTACTAATCATGAGAAGGAATTTTCTTTATTTTGTCACAGTCTTTCATTTTCAACAATATTGAAAGGATTTGAAACATTATTATATTGATCATTTCATAATTAAGACAGTTGCAAAAATGAAATACAATATACATTATAATCAATGCTTAACTACATGTATAGCACTTTAGCCGGCTGACTGACTGACCAAAAATAAAATTAAAAAAGGAATAAAATTAACCAAATAAAATACAGATTGGCAAATATATAATGTAATAATTATATAATTAAGAAGATAAATAACCTGGTCAATTTTGAGAGGGTCACCATTAAGAAGACGTGCATCAGCTGGTACAATATCTCCAAGTTTGATGCTAATAATATCCCCTGGTACCAATCTTATTGCATCATCTTCATTCCACTCCCCATTTCTCAGGACCTACTTGAATATATTTATTAATAATACGACGTAACAATAACAATATGACACAGTATTGACAATTTTGTTACTTTCTTTAACACGTAAAACTTAGCAATGTTGCAATATTTATGAAACTAAAGAAGTGTAATACTGATTTACCTTAGCTTTTGGTGCTAGACGAGCCATAAGAGCGGCCGCTGCATTACCGGCATTGTTTTCTTCTATGTAACTGATTGTTGAGTTTACCAGCAGCAACACTACTATTCCTATAAAATCTGGATAATCTGGTCCTTTCCCCTGTTTTTTTTTTTTTTTTAAAAAAAAAAAAAATAAAATAAAATAAAAAATACCCATTAATTTCCTTCAGTTTTATTACATTAATGTTTTGTACGTATGTATATGTTACACTAGTACAGTCCTACTCTTTTTGAATTTTAATACTGATTATAAACAAAAATTAACTTTTACTATTACTAATTATAGTAAAATAAAAGAGGAAAACAGAGGAGCAATCATTTTCTAATTTAATTTTTTTATGACATTTGTTGGAAGTAAGAAGATAATAAGTTAGATTATAGCTCTAATTTCAATTTTGACCAAAATTAAATTAATTTAACGAATTTTATAACATATGGAGTATGAAGTACTTGTAATATATATCATACATGACAAAGAAGTCTAGTGTTAAACAAGGCTTTGAACTTTTTTAACATGAAACCTTAAATCAACTTAAACTTATGGTTAAATTAGGTACGTCTGACATAAAATTATCGTCCTGAGCATGAGAAGAGGGAGAGAGTGAAGGTAGTAATTACCCCTCCATGAGCAAGAGCAATAGCCATGAGAGCAGCAATTTCCATGACCCATGATAGAGGATTCCACATAAATCCCAAGAATTTCAGTATCTTGCTCTCCTGTCAACCAACAAAAATTACATACCACGCAAATTAATAGATACTCCCTCAATTTCAAAATAATAAGACACATTTTATTTGTGATTCATCTATAACAACTCGTGTTAGATTATACGAGTAGGCTGGAATTACAATGTCATCACTACCATGCCTAAGTGGATACATAAAAGGTAAAAAGGGAGAAATTTGTAATTTTACCCGCTACATTTGAAACCATGTTTATTATATCGCGACAGCATAAGATAGAAGTGTGACCTACTCTTAACGAGTATACTAAAAAAAATTACCACTTACCTTTTTCTCCTCAAGTTTGTTGTATCCGTATTTTGCAATTCTTTGCTCAACTTCATCAGAGCTTAACCCATTTCTGGTACATTGTAGACTCTCAAATACTTCTTCAATTGGTACATTTTCCTGCACATACAAATTAAAGAAAAATTAATTAACATTTCAAAAATCATATGAAAATTTGCAATTTTTAATTAAATATAGACTACAACTAATTAATTAATTACCAAATCAACATCTTCTGCAGCTTCACGAGTTTCCTCTAACTTGGAAGCCATATTTAACCCCTCCAAAATCTCTCCTTCTACAAGATTTTTCGACGAAAATCTGCCAAACGAACAATATTTTAGCAATTTCTTCATCATTAGACGTTCTAAAAAATTGTATACAGATAAATGGAACCATTTTTTAAAATCATATTTACATGTTCGAGCCCATTCCATGGCTTGGACCAATTTAATTCATATCGAATATACATGTTATGGTTCCTTTATTTTTCAAATATTGAATAAATGCACGATTATTTGATCAGTTCTTCTCTATATAACAAGAGTAGAGATAAAAAAAATGTAACCGAAAAAACTTTATAATAAGTGATAAATGCAATAAAATGATGCATTTAACACTTGCATTAATTTAAAGTCTAGTATTTCTTTTTCTAAACCAAATTAAATTACGGAGTATGTATAAAAAGAAAAAAAATAGCAATATAATACCTGAATCAATGCTGTGAAGATTAGTTTCTCAACAAAAACATGAAGCTAACACTAATAAATGAATCAAATAATGGGAAATGAATAAATTAATTTTTCTATTCAAAAATTGATTGTAATTTGAATTAAGTTACGTTGCTAGATATTTATATGATCTATAAATTTGAAAGTTTCATGAACGAATCTTAATTGTTTTAAAAAAATTAAAAAAAAATGAACAAATCTTAATTAATATAGAATTGGGCAGCTCTAATTAATTAAGGTTCAATTTATCATATCAAGAAGTACTCCGTCGCATATAAGCCGGCCCACTATCAACGCATGCGGGGAGTTCTTCAACTGACCAAAAACCCACGTCAAGTGAAATTCTTCTTTTTTTAAAAAAAAAAAAAATTGAATAAATTTGTATACTAATCCGTTGTCAAAAAAGTACAAACTCCAATATTCCGTACATGGTAAATGAATTTTTTTTTTTCTTGATTGTTATGAACAATTTCCATAAAAATTGTTGAATTGTAAATTAATTCCCTATTTGCGTCGGTTTAAAAACTTATTCCCATAATATTGTCCATAGAGGTGTCCACCGTGCGAGTCGTGCGAGCTGGGTTAGGGTTAGGTGGGTCGCGGGTTGGGGTTTCATGACACACGGCACGACACACGTAGGGTAGGGTGGGCCGGGTCGTGGGTTGGGTCGGAGAAGTTGGACACACCAGGGTTAGGTTCGTGGGTTAGACGAGTCGTGGGTGGGTCGAGCTGGGTTTGTGGGTTAGACGGATCGTGGGTGGGTCGAGCTGGGTTTGTGGGTTAGACGGATCGTGGGTGGGTCGAGCTGGGTTTGTGGGTTAGACGGGTCATGGGTGGGTCGAGCTAGGTTCGTGGGTTAGACGGGTCAAGGTGGGTTAGTGAGTTAGGGTGGGTCGAAGGGTGGGTTAGTGGGTTAGGGTCGGGTGGGTTTGTGGGTTAGGTGGGTTAGGGTCGGGTGGGTTTGTGGGTTAGGTGGGTTAGGGTCGGGTGGGTTAGTGGGTTAGGGTCGGGTGGGTTTGTGGGTTAGGTGGGTTAGGGTCGGGTGGGTTTGTGGGTTAGGGTCGGGTGGGTTCGTGGGTTAGGGTCGGGTGGGTTGTGTGGTGTTTTAATTTTTACAAAATTAACAATTTGATGGCTTGCTCTTAATTAAGATGCCTACGTATCCTTATATTATAAAATAAGGAATCAAAGCCAGCGTAGTTCTTATATTGTACTTCTTTTGAAATTTGGGGGGGGGGGGCTTGGACCTATCTTTAGAAAACTAAAATTTAATTTTGCAATTAAATTGTAATTTTCGAAAAATAAGTTGCCTACGTATCCCGAAAGAATCAAAGCCCATGTAGTTCTTAGCGTACCTGATTTAGACTTTTCTAGCCACCCATGTTTGTTGCATCATCATCCCCGGAAGCTGCATCATCCGTTGACGACTCCAATATCATCACAGGATCATCTTCATCGTCTTCGTCTTCCTTTAAACCTTGAGTTCTTCTTTCAGCTTGATCCCAATCTTTCTTACAAACACAAATTTGAATGCTTTCCGGAGTTAAGCGAGATCTTTTTTCATCTAACACTCTTCTACCTGCACTAAAAGCAGACTCGGAAGCAACAGATGAAGCGGGAACTGCAAGTATATCTTTTGCAATTCTCGCCAATATAGGAAAACTTTTTTTATGTTCTTGCCACCATTTTATAATTTGAAAGTTGTTGTTGGTCTCATGTTGATATGACAAATAATCATTAATAGCAAGTGTTGAAGAAGATGATGATGAGAATGATGTAGATGCTTTGTGTTTTTTTTTCATAACTTTATCAAGAAAACCAAAACTAGAATCGGAAGTGCTAGTAGTAGTTGGTGTTGCCAAATCAAAACCATAAATAGATGCATAATGATCATAAAGGTCTCCCAAAACAGATTTGCATTTGTTAATATATTCACTAACATCATAATCGATACTTAAACTTGTATAATAAAATTCTAAAAGATTTTCCAAACCTTCAGCTTTGACACCGGGGTCAAGAATAGCAGCAATTCCATAAATGATTGGAAATTCACTAAAATAAGTATGCCACTTACGTTTCATGCTATCAAGAACGGGACGAAGTCCATCAATCTTCATATGCTCTTCGATGGTGTGAACAACTTTAACACACTCAATTATGACTAAATGAACGTTAGGCTCATAAATATAAGAGAAAATATGAGTTGCACTATCAAAAGCATTTAAAACATCACGAACAAAAGAAGCATTAGTCCAATGACTTTCGGTTATTAACTCAGTAGGATCAACACGAGTCTCATTGTAAAGTTGGGTCAAAATATCACGATACTTTATAGCATCACTCAACAACTTGAAAGTAGAATTCCAACGGGTAGGGGTATCAATAGACCATTGTCTTTTCTTAAGACCTCTCTCTTTACACATAGCTATGTACTTTCTTCTAACTGACTGAGTAATCCTAATCCATTTTATAACTGTTCTAATTGGGTTTAGCAATGGTTGCAACTCAGCGAGACCCTCTTGAACAGACAAATTCAAAATATGAGCACAACATCTAACATGCAAGAGACTACCACCCAACAACAAATTCAACTCGGAGTCATTTTTCAAATAGTCAATACACTTTGTGTTTGCAGTTGCATTATCAAGAGACAAAGAAAAAACTTTATTATTCAAGTGAAATTCTTTTAAACAATCCAAAATACGAACTTTGATGTTAAAACCGGTATGCCTTTCTTCCATAGCTTGAAAACATAGTATACGTTTTTGAATAAACCAATCATCATCCACCCAATGAGCAGTAATGCAAAGAAAAGGTTCGCCAAAACTAGAAGTCCATGTATCACTTGTAAAACTAACACGACCATCAAAAGTACGAAATAATTCAATCAAACCACTCCTATACTTATAATAAGAAGTTTGTGTATAACGTCTTAGGGTATTTCGGGGGACACGAGTAAATGCAGGTTGTAATGCAACTTTATTAAAATGCTCAACGTTTGCATTTTCACCGTAACTAAAAGGGTATTCATTAGCAATAACTAAAGTACTCATTTCATCAATCATTCTATCTTTATTATAAATGAAAGGTGTACCTCCGCCGGGTTGGTTCATGTATCCACCCAATTGTGTTTGGACGCCACCCCCCGAAGGACGGGGGCCATTTTCGAACAAGTCGTGTTTATTTTGCAAATGCCGACTCAAGGTTCCGGTTCCATCTCCCGTTTTCCAATTATATGACTTGACATTTGCACCTAGCGCCTTGCAAACTAGGCATGTACACGTGAACCTCTTTGGTTGACCAGGTTGCCATCCCGGGGGTGTGACCTCAACTCGTTCAAAATGTTTCCACACCCAAGAAAAATGTGCTCGACCTCTACTTTCACCGCCACCACCTTTCATAAATCAAATTATTAAAATTAATTTTTAAATGCTATTCATGAAAATAAGCTTTTAAATTTTAAATATTTTAATTATACTTATTTAAACGCATTTTTCATGGTAATTAACTAATTGTAAATCATAGAAAATTGGAAACTAAACTAACTTTATAATCATTAATAATAGTTTTTTTAAATATTCATAACAATAAAAATTTAATTAGAAATTACCTTGAGATGAAGGTTGAGATGTTGGTTGCGATGGAGGTGGCATAGTTGAACTTGATGATTGGTGGGACTCGTGGGAGAAATGTTGTGGTGGAGACGTTTGAATATTTTGCCTATCTCCTAAATCATAATCTCCATATTCATTGACAAATTGGTTTAAATTTTCCGTATTAATTTCATACGAAAAATTTGCACCACCACTCCTTTGGTTACCACTTCGACCACCACTTTGACTCCTTCCCATTCCTCCTCTTGAGCTCATTTTTTTTTTGTATGATTACTAATTATAATATGGAGAAGAACTTTTTTTTTTTAGAATCTTAAGAATACTAATAATAATATTAAGGAGATTTTTTTTAACAAAAATATAACTCTATATAACACTTGAGAATTTGAGAACAATAAGAATTTTTAAGTAAGAGAGAAAGAAAGCTTGAATTTGTGTGGAAATTTGAGTGAAATGGAATTGGTATTTATAGGAAAAATAGAATGGATGATCATACACTTAAAAAACTAGCCGTTAGATACAAAAAACTAGCCGTTAGATACAAAAAACTAGCCGTTTTTTTTTTTAAAATGGATGTTAGGCCGTGCGAATTGTGCGGGCTGTGCGGGCCGTGCGGGTTGTGCGGGCCGTGCGGGTCGTGCGAATTGTGCGGGTTGTGCGGGCCGTGCGGGTTGTGCCGGCCGTGCGGGTTGGGTGGGTCATGCGTGCGGGTTGGGTGGGTCATGCGTGCGGGTTAGGTGGGTTGGCTCGTGCGGGTTGGGTGGGTCATTCGTGCGGGTGGGCCGTGCGGGCTGGGTTGTGCCAGGTGGGTCGGGTTAGGTGGGTTCACGGGCTAGGTGTGTCGAATTAAATGAGTCAAAACGGGTTGTGCGATTTGGGTCGAATCAAACGGGTTAAACTGAGCTGGGTTGAAATGGGTTGTGTCGAAAATTTTGGACCCACGACACAACCCAGATTAAATCCGAGCTGTGCCGGGCTGTGCCGGATTGAAACCGGGTCGGACCCACGTGACCCACCAGCCGTGCGAGTTAGGGTGGGCTGGGTCCAACCCGGCCCACTGGCCACCTCTAATTGTCCACATAGGATTGTAAAAAGGTTTGGTGTTTTTTTTTTTTTAATTTTTTACAAAGAACCGCTAACGGTGATAGCGGTTCTATACTTGTTATAAAACCGCTAACGTCATTAGCGGTTCTTATATTAAGTTTTAGCTTGTGAAGTTTTCTTATACAACAACCTAATACAAGAACCGCTAACGACATTAGCGGTTTTATAAGTATAGAACCACTATCACCGTTAGCGGTTCTTTGCAAAAAAAAAAAAAAAATCTACCAAACCTACGTGGACAATATTGTGGGAATAAGTTTTTAAACCAACGCAAATAGGGAATTTATTTACAATTCAACAATTTTTAGGGAAATCTTCCAAAAAAAAAAAAGACAAATGAAATTTTATTTGTTAAATAAAAGTATCTTTAAGGGATTTGGTAGCGTTACCAGACTAGGATGATCCCGGGTTCTTCTTAGCTTTAGTGATGGTTTAAGTTTTTTGTGGTTTTCTTTTCTAACTTTAGATTTGTACTTCTTTCTGAGGCTTTCCCCTAGTGATCAACCAAAAAAAAAAATCGCTAAGTCTTACTAAAAGTCCTGTTGTACAAGAAACAAATACCGCGATGACAATTTTTGTAAATAGTATAAACTTTTTATTATACTACGTACGTATTATATATATCGATGTCTCTGAAGATACACGTATTAGACGCAATTGAGTGAATAAATAGTATCTTTCTCTGTATGGCGTCTTTTTTTATCTTTTAATTTTAGGCGCAACACACGATACCCTACATACCCAATAAAATCCTTGTAATTAAAATTATGCCCCTGAGCCTGGTATCAAGTATGCGTTACGATAGCCTCCTTAATGAAATGCTAAAATAGTCTTGTTGCAATAGGTGGTCTATTACAGCAAGTTTCAATAGTCCAAGATAACTTCATTTCAATGTACTCTGTAGTAAATTTGTTGCAAATCTCAACGAACAAAAATTAGTAATCAATTTAGTGTCGATATTAAAAAATTGTTTAGAGAGAAAATAAATGGACAAACAATAACCACATGTATACATACAATATGTATACATACTTGTATACATACTATATTGATACCTCAATATCACCATTATACTATATGTTATCAAAATTGTACTACACACCTAAAGACTAAACAAAATCAAATACTATATATCTTATACATATGCATGCTCTCTACTTTTTCTTTACAAATAATACGTACGTACTACTAAATATTTGGCATCATATTATTGTATAATATGATACTATATAATATGATTATAGACATGATAGAATAAGCTAAGAATAATACCAATAACATAGAATATCATTGCAATTAACTAAAAAGAAGAGAAGCATTGATCATGATCGGAAGAGTTGGAGTCGTCACAAGGAGAGTGATTATGTCTGCCTTCGTAAGTTGTTATTACCATTCGACAATCTTCGGATAGTCTTTCCACTCTTTTCTTCACTCTACAATTGCTATGTGTGCATCGATAATAACTCCTGTAATTTCGAATTATTGTAATTAGTAATACGTGATAATAATTAACTAGATCGAGTTGATTACAACAACAATTATGTATTGTGGATGCCTTCCACACATACATATAGATTTTATTCACCAATTATGCTTCCATGCCTTTCTTGGTCGGACCAAACCAACCGGTGATTGGTTTAGGAAGACATACCTATACTATAATACCATGATCATAACCTAAGGGGGGTTTATTATGGCCTTATATTACAGCCTATCAAAACAATATTCATTCAATTCGAAATCAATGGAAAATCTAAGCAAAAACCAAGCGTATTAAATTTTCTTCAATTGGCATGGTATGTAACATGACAATCATACATCTGAGTGTACCAATTTCTCTAAATAAAGCATATACAGTATAATTTTGACAGCTAGTCAACTACGTTGTACTTAGTTTGCCTTTAAGAGCATTATGTTCTAATTAAGATAATTACCTCACTTAAAGCATTGTCTAGATTTTAAACCTTCTCCACAACTACCTAATCATCAATCGATCTATTATGACAGGAAAACCTACCTTAGCTTAGACGACGAATAGTCGAATACTAGCTATATAATACGATGTATAACATATTTATTCTACTCTATATGTACTGTGTTAGTGGACCAATTCAGCTAAAAGGTTAAACTGATGGTTGAGGGCCAGGAATATGTTTTATACTCTATCATTCATTGTACCATTAACATTAATATATATGCTCAAGATCCTTAATTAGGTTTGATCACAATATACCTCTTCTTATATCCCGCTTCTTTATTTTGCCACATAATTAATTAGTAAACGCGTGTGTTACCTTGAAATATTTCCAAAGACCACTACCATGTAATTGTATGCAATATAACTACATAATGTGGCAAGATGAAAAAGACATATAGTAGATCAAATGAGTAGGGATGACAATGGGGTGGATCGGATGCGGATGATGGTACCTCCATGCTCATATCCGCCTAAAAATCTTAGATCCATCCCCGCCCCACGACCCATGGCGATTATAATATCCACATTTATACCTGTCCCGCTGGGTACAAGATAAAATCCATCTCCGCCCTACCACCCACCTCATACTCACCCCATACTTACTCCAAAATCGTCCCAAACCCATTGTCATGATATTGTACTGTGTTGTATCTCATTAATGACAATTACATCAAATTATGTTAAAAAATTTGGGACTCTTATAGTAATTAAGGGCGGATTGGGCCTCAAGAGGTATCAAAATTCATAATTCTAAACTCTTCTTAAGAAAATATGGGCGGGTATAAGCTAGGCGGGTATGAAGTGGGGCGGATCTAACCTAAAACCCATACCAGCCCCATCACTCATAATGGGTACACATTTTATACCCATGGCGGGTCTCACATTAAAACCGACCCATTGTCATCCCTACAAATAAGACACAAATTGAGAATGCTAATAAGTTGTTAACGGATCCAACATCCCCAAAGACACTATTATCAAATACATGTGTAACAGTGTTAAGAGTATCCTTTAGAACGTACGAAACCCATGATTAACTGAAACTTTGTAAGAAGAAATCAGAGTAATGCACTTGTTGATTGAAATCAGAGTAACATATATTCTAAAATCAACAATATTACAAGTACAAAAAGACGACCTATGTATGGTTGTTAGTTGCACGCCCTCTAATATGATTCTATAGTTAGTCCACTGATCCTATTATCTTGGGTTACTACTTGAGTATTTCTACCAGTACTCCTGACCGTATATATGGCCTTCATTCAGTCGTCACACCTCGTGAATCAATTTGATTCTTTACCAAGTTATGAACTCAATGGGGGTACATTTTATATCGTGCAACTCTCTTTTTGCCCGATCAATAATATATTTTTTTTGGTTGACTTATACTACCTCCGTTACAAGTTATGTGCAACGATTAGTCATTTTCCTTCTCTGTTTCATGTCAAATCGTTGCACATAACCTGTAACGGAAGTAGTAGTTAAAAAAAAAAAATCAATTTATAACAGAACTATATTATAAGGGTAATAATCATGACTTTTGCATTAAATATGACTTTTTCACTGAATAACCAAAATTAGGGATTTTTCTGAAGACACTTGAACCGATCAGAAATACATTGTACTAACAATCAAATAATGTGTTTATAATTTGAGTGACGAAATAAAGTATGTAGCATGAAATAACTTGGGATGAAGCAATTCAAGCAAATAAAATATTCATATAGCTATATAGTGAAGTAATATAGACCTACTAGTCTCATAATTAGTTCAGATCACAATATTAAGCAACTATAAGTCATCTTGCCTACATTAAAAGCTACCTAATTAGTTATACTAATGATGCTTTTGTTGATTTTACAGCTATTGATCTTATCTAAGTCCATCTATCAGCAGGTAATAGCCAACACTTAACAATTCAATCACCAAATTCTCCTTTCTATCATGTACTACCTGTGTCCGTAAATAATAGTCACATCATCTAAACTTCACGTATCCACAACTAAGGCATGTGTGAAACGCTATGTAGTTGGATCAATCTCATATTGACAACGTTACGAAGTCAATAACTCTAATTGATAAAGTATGTGACTAAATTTATTTTTTCCCGCGTTCTAAAAAATTACATTTATAATTTTTCGGCGTTTTTGAGAGGGGGTATATATACATTTATAGGGGCTCTGTGGCATTACATATATAAAGCAGTGCACATTCTAGTATGTGCCTATCTATGTGTACCACTTTCTAATTACCACAATATACGTATACCACACATATATTGTGGTCCAAATTGGCCACATTTATGGACTAACAATGTTTCTCTTATGTAATGCAGTTAATATGTGAGCTTGCGACACATTATTTTCTAGGATTTGATACTGGATTGGATATATTATGATACAGATTGATCGATGATTATGGAAGGATGATGAGAATTTTAGCGTAACCAATTATAACATACATTTTAAGATCTTGTGTTATCCAATTCCCGAAACTTGATCCCTAGTTTTTCAAGGGTATCAAAGAATTGCACTACTAACATGATGCAACTGTTGTACTTAGTCCAACCGTTTATTTTTAGTTGCAAGACTAATTTTAGTCAAACCGTTATACAACTAAAAGTGAGCGAAAAAGGCTAAGTATATTACGGAGTATTATGAAAATTGAAAGAACACAGTTAGTGTACTTCGTTACTTAAAAGACATTTCTAGTACATTCTACGGTCGAATTAATGCATTACAATGTTAAATGTTAAAGATTACCCATATGAAAATTCTTATAGTATAAGGATAGGATATTACAATTGACTTTAATTTGTCGTCGAAATTAAAGTCAATTCGTCATTAATAGTAATATACTATAGACAACCTAATTGCTAACTAATGATCCCTTAATAATTGTTAAACATCAATCTAATAGTGTATGTAATGTACTAATGTGCACATAAAACTCATTAAATAATATTGGATGGTTTGATATGATATTTTTTTTAGAAGAGTAAAATTGAAGCTAGTAAAATGCGCACATTTGAATTAACAAAGCATCAATCAAAATGTCAACAAATTAACTAAAAATGAAGCAAATTAAGTATGTGTTTAACTACCTTGGATGAAGACTATTCTTGACAACTTTCTGACCATATTTGCGCCACTTATAACCATCATCAAGTACGTCGATGTCACTCCTTGTTTGAAAACAAAACCTTGGCTCCCTTAGCTTCCTCCTTATCTTCATCTTGTTCTTTTCTGAGCTCGAGTTCTTCCACCTATATCATTACGTACAATAATTTTGATAATGTATAGTACAAGGTGCAAAAATCGAATAATCGATAACTTATCATATGAAAATGCTTATTGCATTGAAAGTATTAGAAGATAACATTATTGACAATAATACGCATCAATTAAATAAGCACGGACATTATCTTGTATAACCACACCATTTATCAGACCGTCCAAATTAAATGTAACATTAGCTGAGTATGTAATAACTTCAACTATTAATGTGACAGTTAATTAAATTGAACTAATGTAGTAGTGAACCATATATACAACGTGACATGGCACGTGTACGGTCAAGGTAGTCATGATTCTAACATGTATTGTAGTTGCACCTTATGCAAAACAAGTTCATGAATTTGTACGCGTAATGTAAATGACTTGTCTTAGCTCAATTATTAATTATCGAATTTTATGTTCAAGTTCAATGCCTAGGGCAATTTAATTTACATTTGATCTCGTGCATAAATAATAGTATTTCTTCAAATCGAACCAATAATTATTGTTTTTTGGAGTAGAAAAACATTAACAGTATAACAAACAACTGAGAAGGATAGTAAACTTATTTGTTACCCTTCTCATTTACTCCCTCTGTTCTTTTTTGTTTTTCCTCCAGATTTTTTTTATTTTTTAATTTTATTTTCTTAAAGACAATAAAATAAAACAGAGGAAGTATATATAGTATTATAACTTAGAGATGAAGATGGCAAGTACCAAGAATGTTCAGCTCCATCGTTACCGCGACCATTACCACCATTGGAGTTGTCCCCAGCAATAGCTTTCGGATCTGATGATCCTTCCACCTGAATATTCACCATGTAAGTTATACATTATTGTTAAACTTAAAAAAAAAAAAACATATATATACTACTATAATTATGTATCATACAAATACAAAATATATACTATACTATATAAATAATAATAATCATTAATTTAACACTTTGGATTAATAGTGCAATTTTATATAAACATAAAACATAGCTAGGTATATATCCAGGGTTTCCAATATGAAAAGAACATAATATATGCATGTCATAAAATTTAAATACTATACATAAAACTATACTATATATAGATATTAAATATTAGATATTGATATTAACCTGTTGATCAGTAGTATTGTTACTACTATTCCAAGACTGCCTTGTAGTAGTGACATAATTATCAAAATTACCAACAAGCCCTTTAGTGGTGGTGGTGACGGCGGTGGTGGTGTTGTGTGAATCGGATCCCCGATGATCCGTGATCTGATACGGAGGCGGCAGCGGTGGTGGTGGTTGGTGACTCAAGAAGGTGGTGAGCATAACATGATTAGAATGATGAGATAATTCTAAGGATTGAGGAAACCCTTGTAAATTAGAAGGATTATTATTAGTATTATTAGAAGTAGAAGGATTATTATTTGAATGAATCAAGGACATGTGGAGGTCATAGTTTGGGAAATTTGTGCTACTTCTAGTATGATCTCTTTCCATGATATAATGATAAAAATCAACTAGGAGAGAGAAAGAGGAAGAGATGAGAAATATTGGGGGTTTTCTTCAAGAAGTAATAATATAACCCTTGAAAGTAATCATGGAATATTTTAGTACACACACATAATACAAGCACTTTAGTTTGATTTATACTATTTCAAAAAAGAGAAAAATAAAAGTCACAAATTACTGTTTAACCTCTTTTTGCTTTTCATTTTTTATTTTTACCATGACACAAAATTTATATATTTTTTTTCCTTAAAAAACAATTTATTTATTTTTTTTATCTGTGATTGTTATAATTCAATAACTCGGAGTATTGCTCAAAACCAAATTGTAACTCGTTTACTACTCCGTAGTTATCATTTCAATACGAGGTATATATATAATGCAACTTAAAATTAACTTTATTGATTATTTGTATTTACTAAAATGGCAATGTAGTGAAATTAAACACCTGATATGGATATGTTGTCTGATTGGACTAATTCCCTCAAAATATATTAAGTTTGACGGAACTTAATTTATACTAGCAAAACTATAGGTGCACAATTGACAAATTAGAGAGAAATATAGAATAGAATGGCTTTTGTATTGCTTGATATTATTCATCAATAAATAATAGGTTGAGTATTTATACAAAACCTATGCTCATAAGATAGGAAACAATCTTCCCAAAAGATATACCATATATCCTAATGATATATTCACTAAATAATATCTTAACATAAAATATACCTAAATATATTATTCCTTTAATAATATCTACGGAAAATATATCACACATATACATAATTAAAATAATTAAAATGCATGCATGAACATATACAAGTATATTATTAGAAGGTCCATATGATCATCATATATACCGAAACAAGTTGTGTTTTGTTATTTTGTACATTTAACTTATATTCAGGAATCTTTTTATTTCCCTTCTCCTATCTTATGGCTTGCTATATATTATACCTAAATATCTTCTTACATTTCGACAAATTACATTATTTGAATTACTGTTGTGAATTAGGTTTCTGCCCTAAAAAAATATTTTTCATGCTTTCTTGCTTTAATTTGGTAATGATTTATAAACAATAATGGCGTTAGCCATGATCTAAGACGAACTAAGCTAGCTAGCACGATCAAGCAGCTGGCCGGCCATGACCCTTGGCTAGCTAGCTACGTGCTGCATGGCTCATCACTTGACCATGCTAATTAAGTGCATGCGTGTTTGGGAGTTTTTGTGACTTTGTGGTAGGGAAGAATGTTTATATTAACCAATTAGCATTTATACCCCTTGTTTAATACTCGTACTATACAAAAATATGTTAGTACTCCGTAATAAATTAATACTTGTACTCATAAATCTAGATCGAATTTAAGATTATTTTCTTTCCGTTGTAGTAATTTGTTAGTATAAATTAAAGAAACAATTAAAAAAAAGTAGATAATACTATACAAAAATAATTTTTATCATAATGTTCACTATCATATAACTTTGATCATCAATGTAAATATGATATTTTGATAATATGGAGTATTTACTAATTTAAAATTAATTTAATAACGTGGTGCAAAATAACACTTAAAATCTATTCCGTATATCTTACGGAGTAGTAAAGAAAGTATAATTATGATTGAATTTATTTATTATAGTGATAAAGTAAAAGCTAAACAATTACAGAGTAGAACTAAAATAGAAAGATTAAATTATAAAATTAGGGGTATGAGAAAAAGTATTTTTCCCAATTACCAAGAAACATGAAGATCTTCTAGATGAGAGCCCAAACAGTGTTAGAATAGATGAATAAAGATGTGATATAATGACCATTAAGAATTAGCTCAAGTGGGAAGCTACTTGATATCACTTAAGGGAGGATTTTGGGTTCGAGCCTCACCGTATCAAAAACTCTTGTTGGAATACTCACCCATCATAAGCCAGGTGTGCTACCCGGGCCCAATTCAAATGTAGTCGGAGCTAAACTTCGGTGATTCGGGTGGACATACATCCTTACAAAAAAAAAGTGATATAATAATGTTTAATTTGGACAGTCAAAAAGCAATATATTCCTAATTTGTTTTTTCATTCAGAAAAAACCCTATTCAAGGCCTGTTGAAAAGACCCTCCCAACATCCATATCCTTCAAAATGGCAACAAAAAGCAATTACCACCCTCAACCTTATTAGTATATTTCACAATATATTTAGAGATTTAGATAGTGACTTAATTCCAAGTGAACCTATTAGCTAGCTACCAATCTCTTTCCTATTATTTTCCAAGAGAGAATCTAATGATAGCTGCTAAACAAACGACAATGCCATTTTCCTAACAATTTTTATTTACACCTCCTCATCGATCAAGAGAATCGTAGTAATATGCTACTAATGGAACTTACACAGAACCAATAAAGTATGTAGATGGTGAGGCTTGAACTTGTAGCATCAAAGTCACAAGGTGGATTTCTCATTATTATCTCCACCGAGCTGAGGTTATTTGGTTTTAATAATCGGAAGTACGTATAATATAGGGTATGCTTCATGTTGAGTTTTTGTTCTCTTAGTCTAAAATAAGGTGTTTTAGTCTAAACTTTATAAAGTATGATCGGTTTGATTTGAATTTCACTAAAAATATAATTTATTTGGTCTTATCTTATCATCTTATTCAACTAGCTAGATTTGATTGTCTTTGAATTTACGTTAATGTATAAGAAAAATATACTACTCTGTATCAAGTATGATCTTCTAAGATTTCTCTTGATATAATTTTAATTGTAGGGTCAAACAAAGACAATGTACGTCTATCAATAGTTAACAGGATGGCAGATTTAAAATGAATAAAATGAGAAGTTGTCTTCCTATTCAATTCCTAAAACAAAAATGCATTTTATTAATGATGACTACATTCCATCAACATTAAGCTGCTAATTAGATACTACATGCAATAGTATGTGAACGAACATGAATAATGAAGAGGTCAAATTAAATTTTGTGAATGATTTCGAAACAGATGGAGTATCATTCACATAAAAACAACGGTTATATGATAAAAAAAAATGTCATAATCCGGGAGAAAACCCTTAGCTTACTTATAAAACGGAGAAAATCCTTAGCTTACTTATAATAAGATCGAATCCATTCACAATGCAATTGTCACACTTAATCATACAAGAGTACAAGACTGGTGCATAAACCTTGCAATTATTCTAGTAGCCCAAAAATGAAACACATAATGAATTGCTTGACCATTAAATACAAAGCTCAAGTAAATAATCACTTAAACATGAAATTAAAGAAAAACAGAAGTTGACAACTGATAGACTAGGAAACCAATAGAATTGTCATTTTCTTGGCCACGTGTAATTAACCCCATCCTCGTGCATCATTGATTTAATTACTTGTATGTACGAGTAAAAAATTAAAAAAATCTGAATTTTGTTTTTGTCTAATTATGTAAGAAATACTAACTCAAAATTCAAATATATAATATAAATAAAGGAATATTATATATCAAAATGATTCGAAATTAAAAATACAATCGTAAATTACATATGAAATGATATTTAGAATAATGTATGTGTTAATTCATATAAGTATTTAATATCCTTCCTTTTTTTTTTAATTTTTTAAAAAAATCCATTCCTTTTACTTTTAGCTTCTTATATGCAAACCTTAAGGCTACATATATCTTTTTCTATTCTTTTTAATACACTTTATTTTCTTAAGTATTATAATTCCACTTTCTCCTTAACTCCGCGTCAGGTAGCCTTATGAAAGTCCCAGCAGGGGGATCACTCTTCGGCCTGGTTGCGGACAGTCCTGATATCGGGTATTAAATATCGGCACAACGTTGTTCATGACACCCTTGTTGATATTTGTTTTCGGTCTGGGATTTCTGCTCGAAAGGAAGTTAACGTTGGGTTGACTTGAGAGAACGACGGGGCTCTTCGACCAGCAGATGTGTTGCTTTATTCCTTGGATAGAGGCCTTGATGTATGTGTTGACTTGACGGGGTCTTCACCTTTAACGCAATCAGGGTTGTCTGACTTCGTTCTTGGTCGTGTTGTGTCGGCGGCAGCTCAGCGGAAGCGGGACAAGTATGGGGCGTGTTGCTATAGCTATGGTTTTCTTCCTTTCTCCTTTTCTTCGTTGGGGGAATTAGAGAAGGATGTTATTGCGTTGCTGAAGCGGGTTCAGGCATTCTCTAAGGCTTAGGATATTGGTGCTCGTGCGGCTGCTCACATCTTCAGCAGGATCGGGTTCGCAATAGCTAGAGGGGTGGGGGCCCAGATTTTATCTCGGCTCCCCACCAATTTCTTGTAAATTGATTGACTTTGTAGGGTTTTTTTATAATAATAATAATAATAATAATAATAATAATAATAATAATAAGTGAGTAGCTGGAAGCAACAGTGAAAAACACTCGATCTTGTGTCGAGTGATCAAATTTCATTAAAATGAGTAATATTTGGATTTGAGATATACAACCTAGTAGAGTCCAAAAAATGAAAGAAAGAAAGACGGACCCAAGGCCCTACCAAAAAAAAATGTTGATGGTAATGACAATTTAAGTAATGATAAAAACTAGGGTAATTAGAGGACAAAAAAAAAAAAAAATTATAAATTGGGACTCTTTTGATTATCGAGTCATATATAGACCCGTCATGTCTTGAAAATAGAATACTCTATAAATCTTGACTTACTTTATTTCACATTCTATGGCATCCAACTCTCCAAATTAAACACACATTTAATTTGACCTTTAGATATTTTTAAATTTTTTATACTCTGTATATATAATCACTATTATAAATTAATATTACAAAACACATTATTGAAACAAATCTAAGAAGACAAATGATTTCTTACTTAAAACGGAGTGCATACTTCATATTTAGCAGTGAAAATAATAGTCAAAGTAAAATCGAATAAGTAATATGAGATGGAATATAATTCTTTCACTATTTGATGGGGCTTGATTTTGACACTAAAATGTTTAAAATTATGTATATCTTGATTATGCTAATCTAGTAATCTTTAAACCATTTGTGTCTGGTACCTCCTTTTTCCAAATAATTAAAGTTTCATTTTGCAGCCTAAACACGGCCTATTAGTCAAATCACACTCCCATGATTAACAATTAGAGAGAATTATGCCCGTAATTTGCGTAGGAAATATCTAGATGTAACCTAGCTTAAAGAAGAAACGTTCAATTTTAGTAACAACCTAACGGCTAACATAACGGTTAACCCCCAAAGATTAAAAAAAATAAAAAGCATTTAGTGCATAGGGAATGAAGAGTGGTTAGGGTATCTAAACTTAGTAATAGTTTAACTAACTAGTGGATCCCCAACTATTTAATACTCCATATTTCTCAACTATCTTACTTTGTTCTTCCACCAACGCAACTTCCTTCATATTTTGTTGCTTTCAACTATTTCTCTAAAAATTCCGCACATGGAAAAGTAGAGCAAATAATTAAATACAAAGATGATGTATTATTGGAGGATAAACCTCCTTAATTAACTCGTGTATTTTCTTGACTTTGTTTTAATCTAATTTCCTGCCCCCAGCTTTGCATCAAAAAATTTAAATTCAAAGATAGTATTCAATATTAAGCCCTTTTTTAAGAAATATTAAGCCCTCCTTGTTTAAATGGACTGAAATGTAGTTTTGTTGTTCAATAGAAAAAGTATAACTATACTTAATAAAGTTTTGTTTATGACTATACTTAACATGAAATGAAGTTTTGTTTATGACTATACTTAACATGAAATGAAGTCATTAAAATTTTAAGCTTACTACTTTCACTAAATCAATTTGTTAAATTGATATTCTTTAAACTAAAAATGTCTTGGAAACTCACAAATTGCACAACTCAAGTTTTCAATTATAAAACAATATTGTTTGGTACTCGTAATAAAAGTATAAGAATCAAGTTAGAGCTTAATACTCTGTAGAATGATTCTCATAATCTTGCTACCCAGTGATTAGGGGTATTGAGGTAATAGTTAGCTTGTGGGTAACAATATTTAGTTGGTTTTATGAATTCGAGTTCTCTTATAAATTGAAATTCATTTCTTACTTAAAAGCATCTCAATAACACGCACTTTGAGAAAGTAATTATTAAATTATTTATACACGCACCTCGTATCCTTATATTTTGTTCTCTTACAGGTGTTTAAATTACTTTGATATATTCGTATCTTATCTACTTTAAAAGGTGTGTTACAAGACTATGTAGCAAGTTAAGTAAAATAATAAAAACAGAGAGTATAATGTATAAATCAATAAAGATTGATAAAGAGGTGGGGAAAAGAGAAGGTTGAAACCTAGGAAAAAAGATTTACAACTGATTTATCCTTCACTCGTGTGAAGTTAAAATCAAAAGTGACAATTAAGCAATTAATCAACCAAAAGAAGAACAGTGAATAAAAATGAAAAACTGACAAGAAGAAGAAGAAAAGAAAGAAAATAATAAGTGGAACAGAACAAACTCCACTGAATTCCATGCAGCAATTATAACATTTCCAATTAAACCTAAAAAGTCTTCACAAATCTAATGATGTTATAGATTGCTCAATATTTCTCCTAGGTCCCACTATGTGTCAACCCTCTATTTTATGTCTAAATATTCTCTTAATTATTGAAGTAAAAATAAATTCTATTATTATTATTGTGATTTTCTAATATTATGCTTCATTTAAACCTTGATCAAGGTATTCATTGGTTGAGACTTAATTTTCAATCACCAAACTATGGATTTGTTATACTGTTTGGAATGCTCAAAAATGGAGGCAGGATAATTTGGATGTTGAAGTTTATTCTGATTTTATAGGAAGAAACTGTTGTTGTAAAACAAGGTTCTTTTTTTTAGTGAAGTTTCTATTTGGATATAAAAAGAGGAAACATTGAAAGACTTTAGTGGTAGACTTGTAGAGATAGATTACAAGGTAGTCACCCTTTTAACCCCATGACTCAGACACCAAAGATTTTATCAAATGCCTCATCATTATTCTATATTTATAAATAAAATAAAAAATTAATAATAAAAAAAGGTGAGATTGGTTTTTTTTTTTTTTTTTTTTTTTTGTTGACCGGGTGAGATTGGGTTAATTTGATAGACCAGTGTAATTGATTGAAGGCGCAAATGCAATTTAATGCTTAGATTGGAAAATAAAAATGTAGAATTAAAATTCTAAAATTGTATAGTCATAGTAGGCAACAACTTGTAGCCGAGTGCCTGAATATTAGTAATTGACACTGTACTTGGTTGAGTTCATTTTTTTCTATTGGATCACAATATTAATTACTTTATTTTCACCTTTGAGAAAATGGGAAGAGTATGTCAAGAATAGTGCAAAAAAGCATGCATCATTTTCAATTTCAAAGCTTTCATACAAAAATTTGAGTTGTTCTTCTAATTTACCTTTTTTACCACACTTACAACCTGTTAATCCACCATCTAGAAATATGGAGTAAAGGATATAAATAAATAAATAACCATTTGAAATTATTGAGTCGAATTCCGCTATATATTTCAGTCTCTCTAATGTGTTTTTTTGACAAGAACTAATGTGTATTGGGCTGATTGTTGATTGACAAAGTTTTTTTCAGGGCAAATCCAATCCAAGCCGGAAACCATGTAAGACGAAGTATGGTAGTGGATAGCCTTCTCGCATAAGTTCAAAGGTTAACATGACTAATGACTATTGTGAGTTTGTGACAGTGTGAGTGAGACTAGCTATTGTGGAAGTATGATCGAGCTACTTCAGAAATTCATTTACTTGTAAAAATAAGCCCAAGGCCAATTTTCGGGCTTTGGGCAGTATCATCAACTTTAACCCTTAAGCCTCCCAACTCACCAAGTCTACAAGTTTCATTACCTTCAATACCAGATTACTTCTCTTTCACAAAACAGCTATCTAATTTTGCTTATTGGATTGGAACATATACAGAGTTACAGTCAATCCATCCATCCAATATTATGAGAAAGATGGAAATAATTTACTGTAAGAAAAAAGAAAAAAAAAATAATAAAGGTAAATTTACACTAGGAGTAAAACAGTGTAACAAACCTCGTAGCAGAAGATTTACACAGGAGGTTCTGACCACCTCCTCTTAACCTCAGAATTATACCGGACCTCTCTGAGTTTCCCATCTGTTTCATAATCTCTTTCCATTACAAGGTTGATCCCTTCATCAGAGTACCACCCAACTCCAATGCAAAGGATTCCATCATTGTCGACATCAACATAAGCAGTCACACCACCTGGGAGCCAAAGAACAGCCACATCCTGCATGTCTATCATCTCTTCTTCCCCAAAGTAAGCAGGAATCTCTGGCAAGTTTCTCTTTTTCATGGTCTCCATGCAAAGATGAACAAAAGGAGGATTGTTGCTTATCTCTGCTGTTGTCTCGTCAGCAAAGATGGGTGTAGCACTCATCTCAAACACCTTCCATGATCCTGCAAGCTCTGATGGCCGCGTTCTCTTTCTCTGAGAAAATGGCTTCATATCAAGCTCAACCTCACTGTTTCAAATAGATTCCGGTCAACGGACTTGTTAGACTTCAAGATAAGAAGTTCAATGAGTAGTATGACTGTAATCTGTAGAATAAGCCTACATTATTTATACTTCATACAAAGATGTATAGGGGCAACCCTGAGTCCCTGACTGCCCGTCTGCTGCCCATATTATCAGTGTTTCACTGAGTTACATACAGAAGATCAACAATCCTACATAGCAAGCACAAGTTCTAACAACTTTAAGATGGCATTCTAGAGCAATCTCGTCACATATAGCAGACCAAGTGTCCAAAATATGCAATAAACCCAATCATGTCTTTAGGTGGGATAAAATGACAAAACATACAAATCTATAATCCCGCTAACAGTGAGTTATTGTGACATAAACTGATTTCCTAAATGAAGTTTTTCAATAGAGTTTTACTGAATATCTTTTCTCGTTATATCCACCAAAAACAGAGCCATTCCTGATTTTGAAGTTTTAGAGCATTTAAAACCAATAAATCAATACATGAAATCTTTTTACAGTATCTATACAATGTGAGTATGATGTTAAACATAGCTATAACTATGCAATTTGAACTTTTTTTCTAAATAAGGATAAGATTTCTATCACAAGTCATACTATGTAGAAGTATGATAGATGTCAGAACAGCCTACACAAATGGGAGCAAAGAGGAAATAGAATTGCTAAGGTGCTTTAGATTTATCGACATCCTTCCTAGAAAAATCACATTCAAAAAGCCTCGAGTGTTTTGCTATGCAAAAAATTTCTTCACCAACATCAAAGTGACAAACACAAATTTTTAGTACATGCATCAATTAGAATAAAAGACCCCAAACATATTATGTATGAACTTGTTGATCAACAAATCAAACCTGTACAGAAACACTTGCTAATCCACTCACAGTATACCATGCTAACTGTTATAATGCAAAGAAGGGAGGCAAAGATAAACAGCATTTAGAAGTTTCAAGACCATATTTATGGGTTAGTAGACTACTTAAAGATGTAAAACAGATTTAAGGAGGTCATAGGGTCAGTCCAAAATTGCTTCACGTCATAACCCACCCACAAACAAAAAAGATGAACAAAATTAAGAGCAGAAATATAACCCACTGATAATCACAAAATTCCAGCTAAATGTAAAACACTAAAACTCATCATGAAAAAAGAGATAAAACAAACATGACAGTGATGTCTAAGTTTCTTCGCCTACTCAAGAATAAAAGAGGTACATGTACCTTTGCTCCTCAAAGTTAGCAGGACCAACCCATTGCTCTTCATATACAGCAACCCTTAGTATCTGGATGTCTGCGCCACCATTACTAAATTCAATAGTATGCACAATACGCAGTCTCTTGTGGCATCCCTTAACTAAACACTAAGAAAGAAAACAAATTTAAACCCGTTAGACAATCACTCATATATTATTCAGGGAAGCATTGTTTAAAAAGAACACTATAAATCTTGGAGCATCTAGAGTTTAAAGGTTGACTGATGAACTTGAGTATTCAAATAAAAGTATTATTGTTAGTACCAAATCACCAATCATAATAGATGCCCATAAACTTTATCAAACAATGCATTTCCTCACAACATAATACCATAGGGGCATATAATTTGACATGAAGATTATTTACTCCAAGAATCAAATGTAAATAAAAATGTAAACTGATCCCAAGAGAGAATGAAAAATATCCATGAGTGCTATATGAATTGGGGTTCTGAATTCATGGGGTTATTTTATTGGCCACTCCCTACAGCTAACTTTTACAACAAAGCAACAAGGTCTACTTGACATCATGTTTCACACAAGTATTTCATAGAATCAGAACCTACTTGCTCAAACTTGTATGTTGGTGAAAGATAATACTCAGACTCATCAATGTCACCAACTGGAATGTCGACTGGTCCTCTAGAATAAGATCCATCCTGCAGAGGAAAAAAAATCATAGAACTTATCAGCCAGTTGTAAAGAACAAGCACACAACCACATAATACTACTGAAAGCTAATACACTCCAAGGCTCCAAGCTAAAGGCCAGTAAATCAAGCTTGCCATTCAAAGCCTACTGAATAATATAATTTGTACCTAAAGATATCCATTATTGTGGACAATGAACAAATTAAAAATTCCATGTGCATTGAGCTCTTCATAATCATATTTCCAGTTTGATATTGCTCGTAAAATTAGTAATGGTCAAGCAGGGTTTGAACGTTGAAAATTAAGCATTTTCTATATGTAATGCGGATAAGCTTCTTCCAGTATCAAAATTATAGCAGCCAATATCAACAACTTCACATAAAGCACTGTAGTATAACATTCCATAAGTTATCACACACACACACACTCCATCTACTGCAGTATAACATACTTTGTTTTTTTTTTTTTTAAAAAAAAAGTTAATACTAATAATTGGGGGGGGGGGTTATATAATGTAATGAGATCTACCTCAAAGAAAACAAGACCAGGTTCCAACCCCACGATATCCTCTTCCATCACATCACTCTTCGTAAAATCAAAAGACTCAAATTTTGGCAAAATATGATCTGCCTTGCCCTTGTGACTTTTTTCTTTCACGCCACCATTGCCATTGTCACTGCCTCCATTTGCTTGTGCTTTCTCACCATAAGGATTTAGAGTAACCCAATTGGTTTTCCGTTGGACTTGAAATGTATTCTCTCCAGCTTGCACAGCTTGGACACGAGAAAGAGTATAGCAGTCATACAAATACTCACTCTTACCTCCCAAGTCAACCGGCTCCATTTCAGCCGTGATTGGTGAAAAGATTGCTCCAACTCCCTTCCAAATCCCACTTAAACTACTCACAAATGTGTTCCATGCTGGTCGAATAACAGGCTCCTGAAAAAATAACCCTCATCAGCACACATAAAATCGATAAATAAAAGTCTTCAAGGACCCCAACAGATCAACATAAATGCCAAAGTTTGCAAGCCATGATAGCACAACACCACCAAACAAACAAACAAGACACTCCAAGTTCATAATTTTCATACTAAATTTCTTTGCACATCTTTTAAGCCTAATAGGCAATAAGACCAAATAATTTGGCCTGAAAATAATCTACTTCTGCACAAAATCCTAATCTTTCCAGTGTATGCCACTTATGACTAACGAGTATCATATTACATCAACAAAAAACCCAAAACCACAAACAATTTGGATGTTACTACACATAGAGTCAATGCAAACTCTAAGATAAGACAGGTGTATACAACAATAGTCAAATTCACCCCATTTTCATCAAAAATACCCAAACATCTTTAAAAGACACCCCATATGGCCATATCTAATAACGAACGTTCTATGTCATCACGAGAGTAAATCATAATATGCTCCCTGGTTCGGTGGTTCCTAGTTCATACCAAGACATCTAATACACGTGCACGTGTGAGGAGGGGTGCGTATTATATAACCGAGGGTACACAAACCTCACAAAACGACGAGTGTGAAGCACTAGCCGGCAGATTATGATGATCCTGGGAGCACGGAGGATCACGGCACAGGCATTTTATTACCTTATAACTACATTTTGATCATAATATAACACTCCCATTGTCTTAAACTACAGCTACAATTTGATCATATAACACTTCCCCAAAACTAACAACACTACTTCATAGTACGAAGTTCATAATTCAACCAACCGAAATTTCATACAATAACAAAAATTCAAATAATTTGACATCAAAAATTCACAATATACTTAAAATTAGACAAAAATTAAAATGAAATTATTAGTTACCTGAGTTTGCAAAACAGTTTCAAGCTCCATTAACATAGCACCAGAAACCATAACATTAGAGCCTTTAGCAACCTTCTTCACTCTCTTACCACTCTTCCCTCTTCTCTTCCTTCTCTTCCCCTTCTCTCTCTCCTTCTCTTCCGCCACCTTATTGTCGACGCTCCAAACATTGTCCTTCGCCTTCGCATCGACCTTCACTCTCTCTCCTCGATAATTCTCTCTCCTAGGGTTAGGGTTATAGTCGCTGAAACTGCAGGAAACCCTAGGATGATGACGATGATGATGATGATGATTCCGGTGAACGAAGAAAGCGGAATTTGGAATTGATTGGTGGTGGAAGTGGAGAGAGTGATGGTGGAAGAGAGGGAATTGACGGCGGCGGAGAGAAATTCCGGCGAAAGTGTTGGATGCGTCGAGAATTCTCGTCGGAGTTTGCATATCGACGGTGGAATATCGCCGGCGGAGAACAGTTATTGTAATTAATCGACCTTATCTTTAAAAGAGGGAAATTGGGTCTTGTACTTTTGGCTATGGGCTAAAGGCTAATGGTGGATTGGTGTCATTGGTCTAGCCTCTTGGGCAAGTTATTGGATCCGGGCTAGCATTTAGCAATCTAGAAATCGTTTACGTGCCACGAAGATCTGTACTAACATTGCGTCACGTATTCACGGTACCATTTAAGTAGCATTGTAACAATTATTCCATGTCACTATTAATAAGAAAATAATATTTCACAAGCTTCAAACATGTGACCTTATGGAGATGAGATTATATTATTACGAGTATTGTCTTAGCTAAAAGTAATTCATGTCATATTGTCATTTACACACATAAATCAATATATGTTACACACAAAAAAGGAATAAAAATAATTATGTAGCCTAGAAAACACGCAAGAATAGCCTCAATAAAATAAAGACCATATTAAGAGAGTTTTTTAGAGGTGAACAAAAAAATCGGGTCGGCCCGGGCCTTAACATGATATCTCGTGCCAAAGCCCGCTACTTCGGGTTTGGGCTTTTAACAAAATATACATTTTTAAGCTTGCCCAAACCCGCTCTGTTTTCGGGCCGAGCTGATGTTGATCACCTTTAGATTTTTTTTACCAATAGTTTCTTCATTATATTTCTAGCAATCTAGCATTAAGCAAAATAATACTCTTTTTTATTACTTGTTCGGATTAATTCTCATCACCCTTCTTAAGGATGGCAACGGGTCGCATCTGGACCATCTTATTGCTTGTTCGGATTAATTCTCATCACCCAGTTAGGGATGACAACGGGTCGGATCTGAACCAACTTATACACTCATATTTTAAATTAAAATTATAAACAACAAAAAAAAATACGATGTTACATATGAGCTAGTGAAAAAACAACGATGATGTATATAATATGAGCATCCAAAATTCATCTCTTGAAAGGGTTAGTCTTTATCATTACTAACATTATCAACATTTTTAATTCAAAATTTTTAGTTTTTTTAAATAGGAAAAATAAAAAAACGGGTCCACGGATCTGGATCCGGGTCTAGGGCCCAGACCCAGATCTAGATCCGTTTTTGTCAGCAGAACCCGGATCCGTCGGGTCCAAAATTTGAAGACCCAAATCCGTGAAAAACGGATCTGGATCCACGAATCCGGGTCGGATCCAGATCTATTGTTATCCCTAACCCTTCTAAACACCAGAAAAAAAAATAAAAAATAAAAAATCATTTGACCTATTTTGACTAATATTTGTGATTTATATATAATTAAAAACACACACAAATCAACGCACTAACCGACTTAGGACCTGTTTTCTTCAGCTTAATTTTAGTCCAGTTCCTAATTTCCTCCTCACATAAACAATTCATTTCAGTTAAGCTCCAATCAGTTCAGTTTAGTTCAGTTCATATTTTCCTCCTCACATAAACAATTCATTTTACTTCAGTTCATTTCAGTTCCTAATTTTCTCCTTACATAAACAATTCAGTTCAGTTCTGCTCCAATCAGTTTACTTCATTTTAGTTCTTAGTTTCCTCCTCACATAAACAATTCATTTTATTTCAGTTCAATTCAATTCCTATTTTCCTCCTTACATAAACAATTCATTTCAGCTCAGCTCCAATCAGTTCAGTTCAATTCAATTCTTATTTTCCTCCTTACATAAACAATTCATTCCAGTTCAGCTCCAATCAGTTCAGTTCAATTCAGCTCCAATCAGTTTAGTTCAATTCAATTCCTATTTTCCTCCTTACAAAAAAAATTCATTCCAGTTCAGTTCAGTTCAGCTCCAATCAGTTCAGTTCAATTAAATTCCTATTTTTCTCCTTACAAAAAAAATTCATTCCAGTTCAGTTCAGCTCCAATCAGTTCAGTTCAGTTAAATTCCTATTTTTCTCCTTACAAAAAAAATTCATTCCAGTTCAGTTCAGCTCCAATCAGTTCAGTTCAGTTCAATTCCTATTTTCCTCCTTGCATAAACAATTCATTCCAATTCTGTTCAACTCCAATCAGTTCAGTTCAATTCAATTCCGATTTTTCTCCTCACATAAGCAATTCATTCCAGTTCAGTTCAGTTCAGCTCCAATCAGTTTAGTTCAATTTAATTCCTATTTTCCTCCTCACATAAGCAATTCATTTCACTTCAGTTTAGTTCAGCTCCAATCAGGTTCAGTTCGATTCCTATTTTCCTCCTCACATAAACAATTCATTTCAGTTCAGCTCCAATCAGTTTAGTTCAATTTAATTCCTATTTTCCTCCCCACATAAACAATTCATTTTAGTTTAGTAAATCAGAACATGCCCTAAGTAACCTGGCGAAAACGTACTAATCGATTGAGTAGCCCCAAAATAAGTAATTCTTGTCCGACTGAGTAACCCCAAAATAAGTAACCCTTGATCGACTGAGTAATCCTTAAATAAGTAACTATTGCCACAAAAAAAAAAAAAAAAAAACCGCTTATAATCTTATGGATACCTGTCGGAATTGTTTTAATAAATAGATAAAAGCAAGTAATAAAGATGAAGGACTTTACTGACATTTCTTGATTAAGGCTCAATTTACTTTACACTGTGCTTATATTATATTTTTTTTATTGATAATCTAGCTTATTACTGATAGAGTTTTTTATTTTTTATTTTAACTATGAGTATTTTTTTTTGGACCAACACTAAAATTATGTTCATGGAGTGAACAAAGCCTCTATTTCAAAAAAAAAAAAAAGGAAAATTATAGGTCAAGTGGTAGAAGCAAAAACCCTCCTTGTACCCTTTGTTAACAAAACAATAGCCTCCGCCTCTCTCTTTCTCTTTCAGTTAAACCTGCTCGCAGCCGACGACCAAACACCCTTTCCGCTTCCGCCTCGACGACCGTCATTCACCGTGCTTACCTCTGTAAACCCACTGTTCGTACCTTCATTTTCTCTCTCCTCCCCTTTATTTTTGCACTTTTTATTTCACTTATTTTCATTAATTTACCCCCATTTTTGCTCCATAAATTCATGGAAACGCAAATTCAATCTCGACTTAAACCTATTTAAGCATCTAATTAATGTAAGAATTCCATTTTATTTGATTTTATTTTCGTTGATTCATGGGTATTGATTGATACAGTTGTAGAAATGTTGGAGATTAAAACAGCTAAAACTCACAGAGGTAGACGAATCCTTGAGAAACGAGCCCCTAAACTTGTAAGTTATGTTGAGATTTGCTATAATTTCCCCATTTTTTGTGTAGTATTTTGGTGGGTAATTTCTGGAATTTGTTGATTTGGGTAGGTTGAAAATGAGAAGAAGACATTGTTTGTTCATGGTACAAAAACAAGTAATGTGCTTAATTCAGTTTTAACTGAGCTTTATCATCTTAAGAAGGAGAATTCAGTCAAGTATACTAGAAAGAATGACAAAATTAGGCCCTTTGAAGCTGGGGGTGAGACTAATTTGGAGTTCTTCTCTCAAAAGACTGATTGCGCCCTCTTCGTGGTGAGTACAACGTTTATTCGTTTTCTGATAAATTTCTGATACTGTCCCATGTTTATATAAGTTTTATAAGTACCTATTAAATTTTGGTCTCTTGGAGTCGTGGAAAATGGTTGTGTATATTGATGTGCACCTATTCATGGGGTTGTGTTGTATTAGTTTTTGTTAGTGCTCATTATATGTGGTTAGACTGTTAGATTGGTATTTGAAAATAATGATGTTAACACATGCTTGCTAGTATTGATGCACTTCAGTTAGAAATTTATTGTCAAACATGCTGTAAGAGGTGTGCCGTTTACTATAGCTGTGTTGCCTGTGTAAGTTCGTTGGCGTACTTTGGCGTAGTACAACATCTACTTGCTCTTATGACAGTCTCTTTTCTTCGAAATTTGTAGGCTTTCTACCTCTCTGTCAAGTGTTGGGTTGACTAACCAGCTAATTGAGCATAAAACACCCATTAAAGTAAATCAAACTGATCAAAGCCTAGCACTCAACAATATATATGAAGGAATATAATAACATACAATCACATAGTCCTTGGGTCATATCCATTCCTTACACTGCTCTGCTTCTGCATGTAATGAAATTAAAACTTCTGAACTTCCAGGGTGGCTCTAAAACTGTTAGCAAGATAAAATTCCATAAAGAATATGGACCTTGCTAAATCGGTGGGCTTGGATAATTAACCACATTGAACTGCAAGAAGGCTTTATAATCACTATCCTAGTGGTCATGAATCTTGGGGGGTGTTTGCATAGTCACTTGGATTGATATTTGCTGCAAAATTTGTCCCCCAGCATCAAGTGGTGCAACAATTTTTGCACCCCAAATCCAGTGTTATTGCAAATTTTGTACCCCAAAATCCATTGTTGCAACAATTTTTGTACCCCAGAAGCCCCAGTTCCATGATATTATTAACTTTTCGTACTTTAAGACACACAAAGTATAATTCAACTGGGGCTTCAACTTGTACAAAATTATAATTCAACTTGTAAACAATTTTGTGTTATGTATTTGAAGTTCGAAACTACATTCAAGTATACTTTTATCGGTAACAACTAACGAGTATGTTGATACTAGTGGCATTTCCTTTTAAACGAACTGGGATAGAAGTAGTGACATTACTTTTTGGAACGGAAGTGTGAGATATAAACTTATTTCCATGCTTATCGAAACATGAGCTTAATTTCGCAAGTGCATGGCTAAAAGTTTATATCCTTTTGTTTCAAAAGTGAATGTCATTTCTTCTGTATTTGGTCGTTCAAAAAAGAAGTGTATTATGTCAAAATTGTAGAGCATCGTCCTAATGCCTTATATGGCAATTATTGAAAGAATTCTTGCCATTGAAAAATCTCTAAATCTTAAGAATTTGTGTGCCCTGATAAAAATGGAGGACAAAGTATTTTGAAATACTTTAACAACATTTTTAAAAGTAATTTGATGTATGTGAAGTTCAAAAAGAAGTCTTTTTGGTTTGCTTAAGTGAGTCTAGTTTGGTTTTTTGTGAGTGGAGTTTAAAAAGATAAACAACTTTCTTCTGGAAAACTGATATATTGACATTATTTTTGGGATGGAAGTGTGTGCTATAAACTTGGTTTTTTAAATGATGACTACATGTTATGACGAAACTTGTCAGTGCTGCGTTGCATCTATATTAGGTCTTAGAAAAAGAAATGTAACTAGTCTAAATTGTGGACAGTCACCATAATCTCATGTACTGGTAAAGGTTGAAAGAATTCTTGCTAATTGAAATATTCTATGGTCTCAATGCTCTCTGTTCTCTGTATAGTCAGTTCTAAGTTTCCCTGTAATTTTATGTCCTTTAGTTTCCGGACTTTGCCCCTCTCTCTCCAATCTCCATATAACTGATGGAGAATTGAGAAGTGGATGTCTGTGTTCCTTGTTTATTTATTGTGTTAGTAGTGAAGCTTTATGTTGGGTGTGGCTCCTATCTTTCATGGAAAAGGTAGTTATAAATTTAGCTATATTGTTACCTCACATTTTTATGAATTGGAGCTGAATCAGGCTTACAGAGGACCTTAAATTTGGTATTGCTTGTTAATGTGGTTTTGCAAGACAAAAGTAGAAAATTTGTTACTGATATACACTCTATATTGAATAATACTTTTGTATTGTTTTGCAAGTTACTACTGAAGCCGTCTGAAGGCATGCTATTAGCCTATTATCAGCTTCTAGATGTTTATTGTCTCATCGACCAGCTAATTCATTTGTTTGTTTAATTGCTGTTTTGCAGTTTGGTTCTCACTCTAAAAAGCGGCCTGACAATCTTGTTATGGGGCGATTCTATGATAATCACGTCTATGACCTTGTAGAAGTTGGGGTTGAGAATTATAGATCACTCCAATCTTTCTCATATGATAAAAAGATTTCCCCGAAGATGGGGTCCAAACCTTTAATAGCTTTCATTGGTGAAGGATTTGAGAGTGTTGACGAGCTGAAGCATTTGAAGGAAGTTCTCTTAGAATTGTTGAGAGGGGAGGTATTTTCTCCAAGACCTTGAATATATTTGTTATAATTAATTGTGTTTACTATGGTGGCATAATATGTTTGTTGAATACAACTTTTGCAGGTAATCGAAAATTTGAATCTTGCTGGAGTTGACCGAATTTACGTATGCACTGCTATTTCTTCAAATAGGGTATACCTCAGTCACTGTGCTTTGAGACTAAAGAAATCTGGAACTGTTGTTCCAAGAATGGAATTGGTTGAAGTTGGCCCTTCCATGGATTTGGTAGTTAGGCGACATCGTCTTCCTAATGAAGGTTTGAGGAAAGAAGCTATGAAGACTGCCCCAGACCGCACAAAGAAGAAGGTTGGCTTCACTATATTTCCGCATCATTCCTCTGATAAGGCCTAATCGCTAAATGAAAAGAGAAAACACTAAAATCATTTTTTTTTCCCTTTTCTTTTTAATGCCTTTAATTCATTAACCTTTGCGTTTATTAATTCTTATAATGCAGTTGAAAAATGTCAAAGGAGATCCTTTACTGGGCAAGACAGGAAAGATTTACATTCCAGATCAGAAGGTTAGCTTAACTCATTTCCATTTTAATTATAAAACATCCCTGTTATAGTGTTACATGCCAAACATTTGCAATTTCATGAAACAATCCGTGATTTCCAACAATCTAAAATCTAATCTTTGATATTTAGTTGGGAGACATGGCAATTCCTTACAAAGCCAAGGGAGTAAAGAGGGAACGCCGAGAAGCCAAGAAGAACAAGGGGGATGCGGACACACAAGCTTCAAAAAAGCAGAAGGGAGAAGAAGTTTCTACCTGAGATGCCTGTCACGCTTGGCAATCACAATTTTGACTTGTAATCACAATTATCCCAACTCTAATCAAAAGATGTTTACTTTTAGACATGAAAACTTTGAAATTACAGAGCATTCTTGTATGAGGTTTATGATGATGGATGCGTGTGGACCAAAAGAAAGAGACTTTTTTGAGCAACTATATATTATGAGAATAGATATATGATCATGCGCAAACAAGAAGAAGCAAAACACTTTCGGTGGGGTAAATGGGGTGGGGTTTTAGCATCATATCCAACATGGTGTATGTTATCAACAACCCATGTGATAGAAACCCTAGCTTCTCTAGTTTAAAGTAGTTATGTTCTTTTGTATTGTTACAATCTATTGCAATCCCAAACCTAACTATAGATCATTAGATCCTCTCACTATCATTAGTACACTCATGGTGGTGCCTATGCACCTAAATCTATCATGGGGCATGCCGCAATGTTCCGTGTTTGCCTTTTCAGTTTTCTTATTATTATTTATTTTTGTAATACCATGATTTTGCTATTTTTCATATTAAGGTAAGCACAACTATCCTATCTGGCTAGAACCTTACATGAGTCAACTCGCCCTGGATTAGTGTTCTAAGCACTTTAGAAGTGGGAATTAGGGTTTCCAAACCTCAAAGTTAAAAATTACAATCTATACAATTAGTCTTAATTATGTTTGATATAGAGTACATCTTTCTCATCATATGAGCTTATGAGGGGAACATCTTTATGTCTATGATAATAGAAAGGTTAACTTCATTGGTCCCTATTGAGCTTTAGACTAATGTGTAAAGATAGTCTTTTACTCAATAATGTAATGGCTATTTGCATTTTATTGTATTGAGTTTGCATATACCTCGACAATACTGTTTGATTGAAAAATACTGATCATTTAAGTAAGTTATATTATTTTACACCCTCTATTATAAGTCATGAAAATACTCTCATTTCTCATTTGTACTTCGTACTAATGAACAGGATATATTTTCCGTGTATTAATAACATAAAATTAATCTTTAACATAAATATCCTACGAAAAAGGGACAACTACTTTGATGACGATTGATTCATTGCAGTCTCATCATAATATATATTATGACTACAATTAGTACCTCCCTATCGGACAATTATCTCTATTAATATTAATTAAGTTAGCATCAAATCAAAATGAAATTAAATTCTCAAGGTTTGTTCTTACGAAAAAGTCTTAGACCACACTTGACCACCATTGAAAAAGACCATGGTCAACCATGTGACTGTGTCATGTTTGAATTAGTGTCCTATGCATTTATAAAGGCTACTTAAAAGTTAGACCATGTCTACCCTACCCATAATTTGTTTAGTGTTTTGCATTCATTATTTTAAACTAATTATATACTTGAATTTATATATTGCATTTGTATTTTAAAGTGACATTGATACTCCATAATATAAAATAAAGGTATTATGCTTCTAAAGACTAATATTCCATGATTTAAAATAAAAGGCATTGAATTTTTTGAAACATAATTAAATAAACATACATTACTTTTTTATTTACAAGATTTTGCAAGAGCTACCAGTATTATATTTTAATAATGTAATTTCAATACTTGCACTTCTCAAAATATAAAGCACTTGATTACTTTATGTCTCAAGTTAAATTTTGAATAATTGCATATTTTATTTATTGATACAAGTAACGAAAAGCTTTATAAAAGGTTAACTTATGCGGTAATTGAGATGTATGGCTATAAATCAAAATAAATTAATTCAAAAACGGAGAAAGTAGTTTATACCACCTGATTTTTAAACCAACATACTTTCCAATTTCCATTCCCCAAAGCCTAGCAATCAACTTTGCTTTTATATCACACCACCTCTTGTAATTTGTAACACATACATGGACTATAATACCCCCATTATTATGTCCTTACCAAAGCACTATTAATAATTATCATACCTTTTAGTACCTTTTTTACAAGTCAAAAAAATCATTACAATATAACATTAAAAAACCAATTAATTAAGAAACTTTATCATAAAATTGGGATGGAAATCCAATATATACATAATTAATTTACATGATTGCTAAAAGCAACCTCTAGTTACTACTATACACCCCTCCTAAATACCATAAATACCCTTCTAAGCTAAAATCATCTTCACGACATTTTTGCCTACTATCCTTTCCACCTTCTTCCACACCTAATTTCCAGAAATTTATACCTTTGTTTATTCGAGTTACTTACATAATCAATTAGCGAACAATATTCCGAGATCTAATGAATATGAACACGAATCAGATGAAGTTGGGTGACACACGAAATAGGCTCAATCATTTCATACAATTTGAACGAAATATAAAAAAGTGGTTTTATTTTATTTTTATTTTTTTTGAAGGATGAAAAGTGGTTTTATTGATTCTACACATAATAGTTTCGTATGATTCTTATCAAATTCGAAGAGGCTAATGTAAAAATCATTACCCATTGCAAATTCAATGTATTTTAAGTTAAATTAATGCACTCTTGTTATTAGAGATTACTTAAGAGGAAAAAAATATAAAATGGTTATTTTTTCCCTACATCTAATAATTAAGTGGAATAGAGGCTGCGCTAAGTAAAGTCAGGTTGCGTTTACCACTCCCCTTAATTTAATTACATATGTTTACTATAACTAACCAATAATTAAAATTTTAAAATAAAATAAAAGTCGTAAAACACTGCGCTTTACTACACCTTCCTAACAAACAATTAACGCCTCCGCGCATATATAGAGAGAGAAAGAGTGCGAGTTTGAAGAGAGAGAAAGCACTGAAATAAGAGAGAGAAACTTTCAAGCTCCAACAATGGCGATTATATTGCAGATCTCGAAACCCTAATTTCTCTCTCAGAAGCTAATATTTTCTCTTTTTTTCCTCGTTAAAGAAATCATTTCTTGATTTCTGCGTTGAGTTTCAGTTCGAGATCGGCGTTTTTTGGCGGTTCGATTTCTTGGAGAGTGTCATTTTTCTTATTGCGACACTTTACAGCGTCGATTCTTGCAGTTTTCTTCGCATTATACTTTGTTATTTTCGCTTTTTTTTGCATTCGTCTAAACTCGCAAGAGTTTCGCATTTTTTTCCTCCATTTTTGTATTGATAATAAGTTTTCCGGCGGAAATTTGCCGGAATGAACTGAAAATTTGAGCTCGCTTACGCCGGAAAATAAGGTTTTCGCCGGAAAATGGACGACCGCGGTGGTTCGTTTGTCGCTGTTCGCCGAATTTCTCAGAGTTTGGACCGTGGCTCTTACCATACGAATTCCGGTACTCTCTCTCCATTTTCTCTCTCCTCTTTTATGTAGATAACAAGTGGAATGATGCAAGTATGATTAATTCATAATTAATTGAATGTTAATTTTAAAATACCAGTAATAATTAATTAATTCGATGATGTAATTGAATAGTTGATGATGTTAGTTTATAGTATTGAGTCAATTTGATGGTAAAAGCTGCGAGTTAGCTGGAAATTGAATGTTGAGAGAATGACTGGAGTCTTCATTATTATGTTTGGCGTCACGTTCGTCATTTACTGAGTCTTCAACAAATTATTATTTATATGAATATGAATTTGTATGTGGTAGGCTAACTGCTCTAACGATTTGTTGAAATAAATTTTGTGTAATAATTGTGGAAGAATTGTTGCTGTTGTAATGATTTTTTCTGATCATTTGTCATCAAATTTGAGTGGAAAAAATATGGATCAACTGCATCCACCCATAGTCTTATATAGAAATGGTGATTTCCTTATTTTATAGAAGGAAATGTTTAGTTTTATATATTTTTTTGTTGATTTGTTTGGTAGATATTCTGCTGTTGAGTGGATTATGTTTGGTTTCGTTGTTGCTCGGAACGATTAAATAAAGTTGGTGCTGGATTAGTTTGAGAGAATGAGTTAGTTGATTTTGATGTTTATTAATTTAAGGGGTTTTGTTATCAATTTGTGTCAAATTGATTGTGTTTGTTTGGGTAGTTTTTAGAATTTAGTGTTTTTTGGCATTTTCTTACATCAGCGATGGTTATTGTTTGCAGCTGAAGTTGTTGCGGGATCAACAGCTTGGATAGGTAAAGGTCTTTCGTGTGTTTGTGCTCAAAGAAGAGATAGTGATGCTCGGCCATCGTTTGATTTGACTCCAACACAGGTTATTATTTTGAGATTAAAGCAGCTAACCAATTAATATTTCTCCTTTTTTTAGTGTCACTTATACCATTGATCTGTTGCTCTTAACATGATACCTTTCTCAGCTGATATCAATACGAATTTGTTGTGAAGCTTTTTCACTAGTCATGTTTCCGGTACCCATTTGCTCGTGTGAGCAGTGATGTACCAGATAATAAATGTCGTATCAAGACAAATTAGTTTTATGTCATAAGTGTTTTAGATTTACATCTTGTTTCATTGAATTAGAAAATTAGCTTTTTATGTGTGTCATCTGCATTCTTTCTCTCATTTGTAGAACATGCTCATATGAGTTGTTCTCATAGGATATCTGAGTTTCTTTGTTTTTGGCTCATGTGTTTTCAGGAAGAGTGCTTGCAACGGTTGCAGAGTCGTATTGATGTTCCCTATGACAGTTCAAACCCAGAACATCAGGTACCTCCTGCCATTCCCATCGTAGGGTTTTCGTAGAGAACTAATATAAGTAATGTGTCGACTGTGATGGGTTACTATATTTTTCGTCTTCTCAAACCTGTTTAGCTAACATTAATTTGTAACTAGAGACTTGGAGAGTAATGCTGCTACTGACTCTAGTTTCTTGGTGGTGATTTGCGAAGGAAGCTTTGAGGGCGTTGTGGAATGCTTCCTTTCCTGGTGAAGAACTTAATGATTTGATATCTGAACAATGGAAGGAGATGGGATGGCAGGGGAAAGATCCATCCACAGATTTTAGGTATCTCAGCATTCTTTTGTTCAGTCTAACTCTGTTTTGTTAAATCATAGTACTTGACTTAATTTTCAATGTTCAACAGGGGTGGCGGCTTTATATCATTGGAGAACTTGTTGTTTTTTGCTAAAAATTTTCCGGTATGTTATCATTTCCTTTTCTTTCCACTTTAAACATCAGATTACTGACTCAAATCAGCTTTTATAAAAGACATTACTAACATTTATGTGTATATCGTTGTAAATTTGTTTATTTTGTTAAGACTTTCGGTCTGGATTTAATGAGTTAGATATGGAGAAGTTTGCCTCTCCTTAGTTTCCTTGTCATGGTGTTTTAAATGATGGAGGCATTTAATGATTAGATTTGTTTGTATATATCTTGGACAGTTCTGAATGCTCCAGTATCAAATGCTCTTTGACTTTTTGGCCATGGTATCTTGATTCATCATTTAAACTATCTCTGACTTCTTATTATGGTATTTTGACACTTCATTCTGTATTTCCCCAGTTTTTTAGTTAGGGGGAGGTTATTTTATGGCATTTAATAGATATGGCGCAAATGGTACAAGATCCTATTAAAAAGCGATATTGAGGGGGTTCTTCAAACCAAATAAAAAGGTGTGAATGAAAGTGCATGTTGACTTTATGAGAGTGGGAACTAGTAATTGCATGCTTGGAAATATCAGGCTGTTAAGTGCAGTTTGTCACAAAGGGCACTAATGCACATGAGTTATTTTAGTTATTAAGCTGTGATTAACTATGTGATATTATGGTGTGCAGTAGTTGGGGTATGCCACAGGAACACTTGCACTCTAGCTCTAGCTCTAGGCTCTGGTCCATGAACAAAATCAAATTAAGAGTTGTTTGATTTTGAAAGTATTCTAGGCTATGAAGAATTGATGCACACTTGTATAATGCAAATTAATAAAAGGGTAGATCATTTTATTACATGCTTGTCATTTTTAAATTATGATGAATATATTTTCATGGTGTTTAGTCTGGTTCTTTTGAAGTTCAATGCACCTTTTTTTTTCCATCAGCTCTTTTCAATGTTGTTTGATGTATGTTAGTTATTTCTTAATACTTGTGAACATAATGTCAAATTAGTCATATGGAGAGATTTATTTATGATTACAAACATGGAACATCATTGCATGTCTATACTCTATACACAAGCCAGTTTTAGCTATCTCACAGCTTAAATTCACTCCCCTTTCTGCTTTTTACTGTTTTTAATAGGTATGCTGACATGCACTATCTGCTTGTGTTATCTAGAAATCCTTTCAGGACCTTCTGCGTAAGCAGGAGGGAGATCGGGCTATGTGGGAATACCCATTTGCTGTAGCAGGTGTGAATATTACCTTCATGCTGATCCAGATGTTAGATCTTGAAGCAGGTGCATTTTCTCTATTAATTTGAATTGTGTTATTAGCTGTCTGGATTTATAGGTTCTGATTTTTGTGTTCATTATTTTGCTACTTGAAGAGAAATAACTTTGTAGTTTTCTTTCGACGTTTATAGTTCTTGGCCTTACAATATGAAATGTTTTGTCCAGATTGAGTCATGTGATTGCTTTGTATTGATATTTAAAAAGGTTTCTTCTTCGAATTGTTTTTGTAGAGCGATGTGACATGGTATTGGACATATAAATTTCATGTACCATAGGATTTGGTGGTTCCACAAACTCGTTTTCTCTTAGTAGAGTTGTATAATTAAACTTAAAATTTATCCTAGATACGTGTCAATGCTTTTGGTATATAAACAATTATGTTTGATGTAGAGAACATTGGCCTTTCTCCTTCGGTAAGTTGGTGTCTGAAAATTTTCAATTCATCTGTTTAAACACTGCATCTGCACTATAGTTCCTAATTAAATGTAGAATTCACAGTTTCTCTGTGATAATTAATCAAAGTAATGTTCTCACTCAAACTTTCTAATTGTGCTGACAAATCATGCTTCATTTGTCCAGTCAAGCCACGAACACTGGTGGGAGCAATTTTTCTAAAATGCCTATCCGGTAATTTCATCACCCTTACATATCACCCAATTTTTTTGGGATATTGACTTGTGTGATCAATGTTACTTAGATGACATTGCCTTTTCCTTTTCCAGAAAATGATTCAGCATTTGATCTGCTCTATTGCATCACCTTCAAGCTGCTTGACCATCTTTGGCTTGAGATGCATGCTTCGTACATGGACTTTAATGTAAGTTCTCTTCAGCAAAAATCTTGCAGTAGTTGAAAACGGGTCTTTTGCATTTGTATGTGTCATCTCTAAACTCATTTAATTTTTCAATTGCCTTGGCGTAAAGCTCTATTTTGCTATTTTTGTACTTCTCTGTCTTTGGACCCAGCCAACTTGCAAGTCTTTTTGTACTTCTCTGTCTTGGAATGCTTGGTTTTGGTCTATCTTTTACTGCAATGACTGAACTTTGTTTAAGTTGGTTCTAGTTCGCTTGAAGTCTGACGTTTGCTTATCATTTTATTTTATATTTGGTCTTTGTAGGCGGTGATGAAGGCTACACGCCGTCAGCTTGAGAAAGAAATGATGCTTGAGGACATTATTCGGCTTGAAGACCTGCCATCATATAGTCTTCTCTCTAAATAGGTAGCTTTCAAGAGAACTAAGATGAAAGTTAGATGCAAGATGTTGGAAACCTTTATTCTCTTATTGAATTAGTCCATTCCTTCCACGGGAAATTCTGTCTTTGATACCTAACTGGATGGTGCTGGTCCTAGAAGATTTGGTGTGCCATCTTGAAACCCGGATTCATTGTCAATTTGATTTTAGGAGTGGCTTTTGTAAGCACACACGGTCATAAATCAGCAGTTCTAGTACCTAACTGAATTGCTATAGGTGTGGCCAGTTTTTATCTTGTCAATGAAAATATGCCATTTTTAGGGCTTGGGTATTCTTAATTGGATGTTTACGTCGTCGCTTTAGTGCGTTTTTCTTAGAATTTTCTAGAGGCAAGAATGTTAATGTTCAATCTCCTGGAAGAGGAAGCAGAAGCAGCTAGCAGATCTTCATTCTCTGGTCAGATTGGCGAGTGGTAATGGTGATGGAAGGAGTGATTTGGAGACACTAGCTCAGGGACCGAGTTTATCTTTTCTATCATGCTTTGATGGGAAGGTGTGAAAGGTAGATCGAACTGTCAAGCTCAACTTTCTAACCATGATAGGACGATAGGAGCACCTTGATTTTTAATCAGAATTCTTTGCTCATTCAGAAGCATAAAATTCTATATTGTCCTTGCATGTTGGTGTGAATGTTAATCATTTTAGCTAGAATATTAATAATAGGGCTAACTATATTATGAATTTACGAGGTTTTTTATTTATTGTTGGTTATTGTGCAATGCCAATTGCAAGAACTGTGGGTCTGTAGGATGGGGGATTGAGTGCGTGTGTGTTCTTCATGTTAGGGCTCACGTCTAGCTTGAGCCAAGTTTAGGGCCTCTGGCTTTGAAACACAGACAAGCTTCTCAGAAACGTTACTGGGAAGAGGTAATATAGGAAGGGCATGCAGAGATTGGCGTGTGTGAGGGGTGATTTCTGTGTTTTGGTATGCAATGAGACTGCGATGATACAGATTAGTTACCATCAGATACCTACTATACTTGGTAACAGAACCTTGGCAAAAACAGAAACTAAATCAACCTACCACTATCAATATTCAACATTGATTCTAGCATACATGTACTCTGTTACTTGATTTTCTTGCATCTGATTTCATAAATCATAATATTGTGCCAGAACTTCCTTTAATCGTCAAAATTTTCACAAATCGTAAATTTTTTTTCGCCTTTCAATGTTTCTGTGAATATACCCAAATCATTGCTGGAAAATCTAGCTGATCGGATACTTGTTTGCAGGATTACTTTAAGAACTTGAGATAAACCTGATGTCGGCACATTCCCAGAAAGTGTCATATATCAACCCTGCTTGTAAGGCGACAAGCACCATTTCTGTATAATATATCCGTATATGCTCTGCTGCATTTCGAAAATGAATAATGTTGGAAGCAAAGTGATTGCACACTTAAGCTCAAGGACTAACTATATTTCTTCCAGGCTTGGTCGGGCGGTGCAAAATCAAAATTTCAATTTCTAACCATTGAATAACAAGTTCTAATGTAGCGTTATACAAATATATAGCACATATTGGATACACTACAGGAATGATAGTCTTTGAGGGCTCGACTCGGTGGTGAAACATGGCCACATGGGAACCGCATGAACTGATCATACTACTAGTTAGCATATCCCATGAACTCAGGTAATGATGCTTGATGCGGTGATGCGAGGGATCGAATTGGCACAATTTATAGGAACCCCTTTGTGATGAATAACGACAAGGAAACACTGTAAAACTGTGCTCAGCCTACAAGAACCTCAGAACTCAAGCCCCTAAATGAGTTAATGCTGATGTTACTCTCTTAGCTTATGTTGGTAACTTGGTACAATAAGAATAAAACCTGATTTAGAAATTTGTACTAATCCGTACCACCTGCTGCAATACTAAATTGAATTTATGCTTCTGAAAACTCAACTACTCCAGTTTGTAGACTTTGTAATACTAAAAATCACTGCAACTCTTTCTTTCTTTTCTTTTTTTTTTTGACTTTGTACTTTTGCAAGTATTATTTTGCCCATACAAATTCCTATTGTGCGTCCCATAACAGTTGTTCATCTTAAAGTCGAATATAACAGCAGTCAGGCCTTAGAAAAATACTGTAGACGTTCTTCTAAGTCGATAATTTGAAAGAGTGGTGATAGAATGAACAACGGTTTACTTTTTCAATTCATTGAAATTATGCTGACACTTTTAATCCGGGTTTTTACAGCTCTGGATGAAGAAACATTAAGATGTCAGGTCGCAAACAGCTTGAACCAGCCATTTATAGAGCAAAAATACGATGAATTTTTCATTTAATAATATAGTATGTCATCAAATGCTCCTGCAGAACACATAGTAACACACTAAACATAACACCACAATCAAAAAACAGTCTAATAAGATCAACCAACACCAAAATTAGGTCTAATTTGCCAAATATGTTTTCTCAAGATAATAGCAACTCTTAGATAGTTAAGTTCCAGATGGCAAGTAAAACATTTTAAGCAGGTATAGATCTATTCATAGATCCATGAGTGGAGGCTGCTTTGCCAGTGAACAACTCCCTCGGGGAACCAAAGAGCAATCTCCTTTGTTGCGCTCTCAACAGCATCACTGCCATGGATGACATTTCTGCAAAAATCATAGATTTATAGATTAACACATAGCATGGGAACAATAAAGCAAATCACAGGACTAGAAAGGGACAAAAAAAAATTAGCCACCTTCCTCGGAAAAATGAGGAGAAAACACGAGTGGATACCGTTGAGCTACATTGATACAAAGCTCTAACTAAAAAAATGAATGTAGAATCAAACCTCAAGGAGATACAGGACAATCAAGATTCTTTTTGGTAAAACTGACTCAATCAGACAAAAGAGTTCTTTAAACTGTTTTGCTCAATGATTACACCTCAATAAAGGGAATTTTAGTTTTTACACAATATAATTGCCGTTCATGCATCAAGACTTCTATGTCGGTCAAAATTAAGAAGTGATCATTAACACAAATCTACTTTTGTGTACAACTCTTACTGTGCCTAACTGCCTATTCATGTAAAAGTACAAAATTATACTTCATCGAGTTATTAGCAGTTAGCGCTACAGATGACCAAAAAAAAAAGGGAAGATCAAAATTCAAAACACACAACATTTCATTAAACATACACAGATCATTTATAAACTACTTTCTAATATTGTGAGTACAAATATAATTTGGGTCGTTTGTTTGGTTAAATAGAGGAAATCATCAAATGCAGGTATTTCTTAAGCAGAGAGTATCAATCATCAAAGAAGTGATACGTATACCTATTAAATAGGGAATAAACATTGAATGATTAAGTAGCTTTAAGTACCTGCCAATGTCGATGGCAAAATCGCCACGGATGGTTCCTGGCTCGGAAGCAAGTGGGTTGGTGGCTCCAATGAGCTTCCTTCCGGTGGCAACAACACCCTTACCCTCCCAGACCATAGCAACCACAGGTCCAGAAACAATGTACTCAACCAAACCGTTGAAGAAGGGCTTGGCAGACAAGTCTGCGTAGTGCTTCTCGGCAAAAGGGCGGTCCACATTCACAAATTTCAAAGCTACACATAAATCAAACATCATTCAATAGGCAGTCACATCAACCAAAACTTAAAATTTCAACTGTGCAATAGTAGACACATCAACTAAAACTAGAGCATTCAAATCCAATTCATAGACCTTAGTTCGACTAACAACTAATACAATGATTCTGAGATAGCTGCTACTTCACCCAATTGGTTCGGGGTTTGAGTTCGTCAAAACATTATTACTATTGAAATCAGAAATCAGACATGGGGTAGCAAGTAAAAAGCATAATTTCATTCTTGGAGACAATTATTGGCATCAAATAAACACACTTTTGAGCTAATATCGTTAGTTTAAGCATCATATTAATGATAATCCTTAAATTAACCTCGCAGCTAATTACATAATACCGAAAACAGAGGAAATAATTGTTTAAAGCTCCAAATTTGTATAATTCAGATCAATTATTGGCATCAAATAAACACACTTTTGAGATAATATCATTAGTTTAAGCATCATATTAATGGTAATCCTTAAATTAACCTCGCAACTAATTACATAATACTAAAAACAGAGGAGATAATTGTTTAAAGCTCCAAATTTGTAAAATTCAGATCATACCTTTCAAAGAGAAACCCTTCTTCTCAAATCTGCTGATGATCTCACCAACCTACACATTTAAAAACAATTTCAGAATCACAATTCTCAATCTGACACTTAAATCTTCCAACTCTGTATTTTACAACCAAATTAAACAAGAAAAGCTTATTATCTAAAAAACCCAGTTCAAAATTCAATCAACCCAGTTGAATTTTCCATTCAGTCAATGATTAATTATGTTTAAAAACCCAATTAAGCAGCAAAAAAATCAAAATTTTTGAAGAAAAATGAAAAATTAAATTAAAAAGGTGAAAACTGAAACTAACCAGTCCTCTTTGGACACCATCAGGCTTGATCATGATGAAAGTTTGCTCCATATTTGAATTTGCTTTAAAGATTCTTTGAAAGATGTAGAGATTAAAGATGTATAATAGTGGAGAGTAGAAAATGACGGAAGGAAGAGTATATATATGGGAGTGGGAAGAATACTGAACCCTAACCCTAGTTTACAATTGGAATATTCTTGTGCGATTTTCTTTTGGGCTGTGTTTGCAATACGAGAGTATAGCTTATTGAGGCAAAACTAGCTTATTTGACAAAACAATTAGCTTATTGACTACTCACTAAAGGTTTGTTTAGCTTAATCTCAATTCAGTTTAGTTTAATCAATTCAGTTTAATTTTTAATTTTTTTTTCCTCTGATAAATGATTCATTTAAGATCTATTCGGTTCAATTTAGTTGTTTATATATTTCGGATATTTTAATTAAGGCAAAAGCTATATTTTATTATTATTTTAATATGTCCGAAAATCCTAATTAATTAGCTAATAATTTCGGATTTTCCTATGTGAAAAATCTGATTTGTATTTAGTTAAATTATTTGGTGAATATTTGGTATTTTATTATTTAATTATTTATTACAATAAATATTTTTTACTCAATTATTTTTAACTCCTTAAAACTAGCAAAATATATTCATAAATACTAAATAGGAGGGCCGAAAATATGAGCTTAGGAAAGCTCAAAAATTTCGTCCATCCCATGAAGATTTTGGGAAAATATTTTGGTAATTTGTATTTTTAATTATCTTCTTAAAATCTCCTATTTTCCATAATTATAATTCTCCATCTTTTTTATATCCAATAATTATATATTCTTGCCATTCATTCTTCTTAATTATTCCCCAAGTAATTCCAATTTCCTTAATATTTTTCATGACATACATACCTTCTATATTCAATTATATACAATCTCTTCAATATTAAAACTTTCCTTAAATCTTTGCTCACTTCTCCAAGTAATCTCTTAAACCCTAATTACCATAATTCTTCCTACATTTTCCTACCATAATTCATGCTCATACTAGCCTATAAATACCCCTTCATACGTCTCACATTCTTCACACCAATTCTCTTCTTTTCTTCTCCTCAATTTTACATAAATCATCTCGTTCATCTTTGAACCCAATTTTTGGGCACTTTTGGTCAGTTTTTGGGGTATTGACGTACTGAAAGTTGTTTCTCTCGAAAAATCCTTGAGGTTAGGCTCAAGAATCACCCAATTCGGAGCTATATCGAAGGAGTTATAGCCTCTGAAAGTTCTGCCTATTATTTCCAGCGCAAATCCAATTCTTTTCTTCTCCTTTTCTCTTATTCAATTATTATTATTATTATTATTATTATTATTATTATTATGAGAGATTAATATAAAATTATTATGAGTAGTTTTAATTATATAAAATCAGATTTTTTATAATGTTCATGTTGAATTAATTTAAGAGGTTCATATACATATAGTTGGGAGGGTTTAATTTAATTATTTGTGATTATTTGTTAACCTTATATTGATTAAGGTTATATTTATTTGTAGGGTGTTTTTGATCAAGCTACTTGAGAGTTCTTTTGAAGTGTTGTTGGCTAAGCGAAGATCAAGGTACATTAGGTGGCTAGATACCTTGAAAGTGATCGATTTGAATAACATGTTTGAACGAGTTATGTTGCTTTAATTAAATTGAATTGAATTATGGTTTATGAATTAAAAGTATGTTTAAAGGATTGATTTTAATAATTAAATTGGAGTATTGATTTTTATGACATGTTTTGATTAATTAATTTATTATACATGTTTTAAAAGGATTGATTTTGAAAGCAAGTTGAATTTATGGAAAAAGGAGTTTGGATTGTTTTCATTAAAGGTTGAATTAATGGATTTAAAAGAGGATTTATTGAATCATTGATTTATTATTATGCTTTATAAGCATGTTAGTAATCCCACTATGCGGATTTGGTTTATTGATAAGGCCTTGGACTTTGTATGACCGGGTATTTTCTCAAGAATACCCCCAAGGCTATATAACCTTAGTCAATATAAGGTTAACAAATAATCACAAATAATTAAATTAAACCCTCCCAACTATATGTACATGAACCTCTTAAATTAATTCAACATGAACATTATTAAAATCTGATTTTATATAATTAAAACTACTCATAATAATTTTATATTAATCTCTCATAATAATAATAATAATTGAATAAGAGAAAAGGAGAAAAAAAGAATTGGATTTGCGCAGGAAATAATAGGCAGAACTTTCTGAGGCTATAACTCCTACAATATAGCTTTGAATTGGGTGATTCTTGAGCCTAACCTCAAGGATTTTGTGAGAGGAACAACTTTTTGTGAAACGTCAATACCCCAAAAACTTACCATAAGTGCCCGAAAATTGGGTTCAAAGATGAACGGAATGATTTGTGTAAAATTGAGGAGAAGAAAAGAAGAGAATTGGTGTGAAGAATGTTAGAGGTATGAAGGGGTATTTATAGGATAGTATGAGCATGAATTATGGTAGGAAAATGTAGGAAGAATTATGATAATTAGGGTTTAAGAGATTACTTGGAGAAGTGAACAAAGATTTAAGGAAAGTTTTAATATTGATGAGATTGTGTATAATTGAATATGGAAGGTATGTATGTCATGAAAAATATTAAGGAAATTGGAATTATTTGGGGAATAATTAATAAGAATGAATGGCAAGAAAATATAATGATTGGATATCAAAAAGATGGAGAATTAGAATTATGGAAAATAGGAGATTTTAAGAAGATAATTAAAAATACAAATTAACAAAATATTTTCCCAAAATCTTCATGGGATGGCCAAAATTTTTGAGCTTTCCTAAGCTCATATTTTCGGCCCTCCTATTTAGTATTTAGGAATATATTTTGCTAGTTTTAAGGAATTAAAAATAATTGTGTAAATAATATTTATTGTAATAAATAATTAAATAATTAAATACCAAATATTCACCAAATAATTTAACTAAATAAAAATCAGATTTTTCACATAGGAAAATTCGAAATTATTAGCTAATTAATTGGGATTTTTGGAACTATTAAAATAATAATAAAATATAGCTTTTGCCTAATTAAAATATCCGAAATATATAAATAATCCGATTTTTAAAATAGGATAAATAGATAATAAATCTTATCCAAAATAATGATTAGTTTTCAAAATACTTTTGGCGCCAAAATTCAAATATTATTTTGGCTCCAAATAATAAATTTACTAAAATACCCTTTTATAAAATAATTCTTAATTAATTAATTAGGAAAATACGTATGAAAATACGGGATATTACAAATCTAATCAAAATCATCAACTAGCACAATCAACTATCAACTTTTAGCTTTTCACCAAACCCGACTTTTTTTTCTATTAATTTTTTTTTTTAAAAAATTGTGTCTATTGGCTATTTAAAAAAACTTGTGAAAATTTTCTTTTAATGTTGTACCAAAAATTTAAAACCAATAAGATTATAATGCTATTTTTCATTTAGGGTAGGAATTTTTATCTAGATTTTTTTCAAAAAAGATTTTAATCTAGTCGACATAACTAATACTTTGGCATGTGCGACACACATATGCTATTTATAGTGAAATGATGTGTATGTGTATTTTTTTCCCCTTTATATAATGATGTTCCTATTCAATTCAACAATAAAAACGGATCGAGGAGGTGATCAGGTGGTAGTGGTAGTGGTGTTGAAGGTGATAATGTCAATGGTGGCGGTAGTAATAAGATTGTTGAAGATCTCATACCAAACGTCTTCTAAATGTATGTCCATCAAGAGTTAAGTTTTAGGGTACTTATAAGGAAACCAAAAAATACAAATTGTAATGTTAATAAAATTCATTTGGTAAGTTACTCAAGTACTTAGCGCCATTCAACATCAAATACTATCTCCACTTCTCGTTTGCATTTTCACTATTAGTCCATGTCTAAAATTGCATTAACCCACATGTTAAATCAATAATATACCACAAGTTAAGAGCAACTCCAATGGTTGCTTTCAAGGACTAGCTTGCAATTTTAATAATTTTCAAGCTAATAACCCAACCATTGGAGTATATTTAATAATTAGCTTGGTCAAGCTAATGCCAAGCAAATTAGCTTAGAAATTAATTGTCTCTTATAAATACTAATTATTTAAAAAATAAAGCTGAAAAATCTAAATATTAATTAGCCTAACCATTGTGGTATGAATTAGCTAGCAGGAATAATACCTTTGCAATCTTAGGTGGCATGGCAAGCTAATTTGACAATTAGCTTGCCATTGGAGTTGCTCTAAGGTCTCTTTATTTGAACGTGTGTCCCGCACGATTGGAACGTGGCACACATGAGCTTGTCATATTATGGATGTGTATTGGCACATTCTATTAATATGTAACCTGATTGTCGTGTGAGTAATTGTTACTCCTACTTGTTATAGTACTCGTATAAATTAATCGTTAACTAGTTATGTACGTAATAACTATCAAACATAGTAAAATAACGGTGACCTTATGTCATGGGGTCAGGATCAATGTCAAAAATGTTAGGCTAACAATACCTTATCAACTTAAATAATGATTTTATCTAATCTATAGTGCTCTTTTAATGTATGAATGAAATTAATTATAAACACAGAAACAGTTGCTACGAAGTAGTTTAATACAGATTAAATAACATTGTACAATATTAGTGTATCTTATATGATCGATAAAAAAACTTTATAAACTACCATAAAAATGGACTTATATAGTACATAGTAGTAGTTTGTATGTATTTAATGATGTCATAGTTCGAATATATTTGCAAATAATAAGCCAAGTTGTGAAAAAGGTTTAAACGGTGATAATCATATATTATTTCTTAATTAATTTTAGTTTAAACTGAATATGTTACGGAGTATTATAGAGTACTTTTTTTTTTAAGGAAAGTATTACAGAGTACTTTCCATACCTTAATTGTTTTTTCATTAGTTTTCAAAAAAAAAAAAAAAATTGTTTTTCATTAAATTTTATCTTAATTTAATTCATGCACTAAATTCAATACACTTTATTATTTATCGTTCATTTTTTTTTGTAAGAATGAACATCAACCCAAATAGCATATTCTATTTTTGCACAACTATTTATAGGAATGAATTTTTTTTTATTAATCACAAATTTATGACAATTTGTC